TACAATAATTATACCCTTCGTGCCATATAAAGAGGAGAGTGCCATCGGGTCAAATGTTTAGCCGTTAGCAACCATGGGGTTGAGAGTTCGTAGCCACATCGTCACTTTCGTGCACTTACTCAAAGTCTGGTTTTCAAATTCTCAAGTAGCCCGTGTCTCTTCTCGCCTGATAGCTGAGAACAAATCAATTCGTTGTTGCCTTGGACGGCGTGACGATCTCGACGCAGCAGGTTTTATAGCGCTTGTCTGTTTGGATATATATCCCATCTTCCCCCGTGAATAACAACTAGCGCAGCATGAACTGAAAAGGCATAAAATCCAAGAAGCACAGTAGTAGTAGTAGGGCTGTCACGTAATCAAGACTACACTTAACAAACGTACGCATGATGTAAGATTTTAGCTACGCACATGGAGACATAGAGATTTCCATTTTGCCTGAAATTGTGTGCTAGTAGGTAAAGAGCGGAATTATACGAAACTAAATACCACAGAACAATTGCCCTGCAGATAGCAGCATAATCCTGTTACCTTTGAGGCAACGGCATATTGTGTTTGCGTAAGTGAGCGTTTTGATTCCAGATAATTCCCGTCACATAGCATCTTTCCATGAGCTGGTGATGGGTTGGCTCATGCAGCCCATTAGCAGCAGGCGCACCCGCCGCATTTTCTCTACATGCCATACGTGGTTAATATTGGATCTTGAAATTTGCACTCTTGTTGCGGTAAATTAAGACTTACATGCCAATAAGGACAGTTGCCACTCCACTTTTATTAACGATAAATCAGTGATTCAGTACAGTATATAGAAGTAAGGACTCAGAATTCCAACTCACATCGTTGCAGCAGGAAGGAGGTAGGCAAAGAGCAGCAGCAGCAGCCTCAGGTTCCTTCTCAAGATTTGGAAGGGCCATTGCTACAGCAGCAACGAGGATAGGGAAGACGCGGTATAGGATCATTGTAATGTTCGGGGAAGCGAAATTTACTAATGGTGGGTTGTTGGTGGGTTGATGCTTTCTTTCTTTGTTTGCCCTTGTTCTATTACGCCGGTCCTTGAGCTTCTTTTATAGTTGAGGGACCGCCTTTCGGTCACGCATAGCCAGCAGAACCGACGACAAACTAGTAAGAAGTGGCATCAAGATGACATAACATGCAATCCATCGAGCGAATAATCGGCCCCAGACGAGAGCTGCTGGCTCAGATCTTACCTATTGGCCGACCATGTATAGCGCCAAGACAAAGAACTCTTGAGTACTTCATGTTTCTATAGCCTTACATGCAGAATATTTCTTTATTAGGGTGGCACTGCAGATTTATATGGTTGAATTCATTACGTATGATTTTGACTATAACGACGATTTCGTACACCTCTTGCAGATACGAAACCGGCCAGAAACAAAAGTTTGGTAAGCCAACTAAACAACGATCGTCTTGTGACGAAGCATGAACAAGGCTGCGATTTGCATCTACACCATTCCGGAGCATCGGCTAGTACGACCAGACCCCGGAACTTCCAGGGGGGTCAGCCGATCAACCGATCGAAGTGGTCGGCGACTAAGATCGGCAATTAGAGGGTCGATTCGATTGTAATCCGGCTGAATTGATTATGGGGCTACTCTGGTCACTTTTGATATTATTTGCATTCATGCCATGTAACTTGGAATATTTCCAGAGACCAGCTGCAAGACCCGTCCGAAAGGTAGTTGTAATTGTCCATACTTGGCAGAATACCTAGGTAGAAGCACCACCAAGTACTCGCATTGCCCGAACTCCAGGTAGATTCTGCATGCAGAGGAAAAGGAGGGTAGAGCTTTGCTGTTTCTAGCTCATGTTGCAGGTGGTCAGCTAGAAATAATGGGACGGGTCCTCGGAAAGTGACGTGTCGGACCCTCGCTGTTGCCGAGACGAGCAACTAATACGACAACTGGTAGTCTCGCCAGCCCCCTCCTTCTTCTTCTTGTTCCTCGAATCCTGTTTAGAGCCAAGAACATTGCAGAGTGAATAAAGCACGGGTTTGGTACCCGGCATCTAAGAAAGACTGTATCCAAATGTACGTCGTCTCTGAACCACGGTCGCCTAGTTGTCGAGTAAGTGCATCGTAACGTTACGATGGCCCAGACGAACTGCCCTGCGATACACTCATTACCGTTTACTATGGTGCTGTTGGGGGTTGGGAGTGTGAGATGCCCGCTTCTGCCGTAACGACACGGACTATGATACGTCATTCGGCAAGTTTTCAGGCAGACGAACCCTGTTATCGAGGACAAACTTAGAAATTACATTTAATTACACTTACATATTAGATGCACTGTGATTTCTTCTGTTCTAACCCGGGGCCACCACCCTCGGTATTCGCTTTCCTTGTAACTAGCAAATTCCCTTGTCCCAAACGAAAATGAAGTCTAGATAGAGCTATAGCTTGTCTATCAGTGCGCAGGTTAAGCGCTATTTGAATACGGTACAAGAAATAGCCGAATATGCTCGCCGGAAAAATAAGCAAGTCAATAGAGAAAAGCAATCGTAATTATCCTATAATTACTTTTATTAAGTAGAAAATATCTTCATTAAAGTAATATGGGAATATAATCCCTCCGCAATTAGGATAACTAGCTCACAGTATTCATTTTTTAGCTAGCTCCACGGTCGGCTAGTGTGTCTGACGCATCGCGATGCGTGTACTCATGGTGTCTTGCGTGGTTAGTTACGGTTCCCTGGCCTAGGTACGGCCAAAATACAGAGTTACTAGATGCCCTCTATCTAGCCCCTTTTTTTATTTTTTTTTTCTAAATAAGTTAATAGAAATATAATTACAGCGTCCGTTTATTTCCACTATATAGTGTGACCTAAAAGCCGGTCTATATCTAGCTTTATACTGTAAGTTTTCGTGTTGAGCAGATATTAAAAGAAAAATAAGGGTTTATCTTATTTCTTTAAAGCATGCGGTGCATATCGATACTGTAAGCCACGTACTCGAACTCTTCCAGATAAGCACAAACTTTGAACTTCAGGCTCTGCCTATCGGTCCAATTATCTGCTTCTAATCAATGAACTGAGTCTCATTATAGCCATCTGCATTCATGTTATTAGTAATTAAGTTATTAGCGATTCGATATTGTACATAAAGTCTTGCGCGCTGCTGGTTTTCGCGGCTTTAGATTAATGCGGAGAATTAACTATGATGGTCGGAACGGTAGCAGAAATCTTGTCGGATTTCAGCCTGCGTCCACGAGACTGTCATTTTCCGGCTTTGTGTCTGTAATCACCACTAGCGGAGCTGTCCAAGTCGGTGTATATCGCGGCTTACAATACTGCATTAATATGAACAATCAATACGACTTGACAAGCTATTCACTTTCCATTCGGGTCAAAATATTTGATGCGAAATCATGTTCCCTTCACCGCAGCGACGTTATTTGATGCAACCCAGTCGTCGTCTTAGTGTGGCCGACAGAGGCATCGGCTGCCCAGATTATATCGACGACAGATCGAAGGAGAAAGTGGAATACCCACGTGAGTGCCCATGATGTCGTCTCGCCAACAGCAAGCATCATTACGATGCATTAGGCTTGTATTTCTGACGGAGACATATTGTTTTTGGACTCTATGTCGTTGGACTCAATCAATGCCTCAAGAATGCTAACTGTTGCTTGTTCCCCAGTGGCGAGAACTGCTTTGGACGACTCTGCAGACCCTTTGCTGTATACAGCCCATTCGCGATACATCGTGCTCCACGGCCTCATGACTGACGAAAACAGGAAAAAGAAAAAAAGTCCAAGAACGAGGAAGCAGTCCCCCACTTGCTTATCGAGGGAGCTACCTTCCGAGATGGAGTCAGGACCCCGATCAAACGCGCTGTAATGTTCAAATGGTCAGTTGTTTCAGCTCGATAGCTGACCTCGACCAGGTTTCCGTTATTCTCATCGATGGTCTTCTCCAAATATCGAAATGCTTGCTATACTCGTGACGGCGAATGAAAGGCTCCATGTTGGTAAGATAGCCGTAGTTTGAGCACCTCCTGCTTCGGGGCAGCTTGGGGAGATGTTTCTACGAGACGATATTTTTAACACCTCTGTCATTAAAAATATCAAAAGATTCTGCTGTTCAAAGGTTATATGAGCCTAAATGCGTGCGAATATCCTGGGGTTGCATGTTGCAGACCGCAAGTGACTTGAAGGCATAGATATCGCCGTGCCTTAAAGAGTCCTTCCCAACTTGCAAAGCGACCTCGCTGGGTAAGTTGTTAATGTTTAATACGGGTTGATGTTAGTCACGCAAGGAGAGGTCCTGGAATAATTCCCGGTGGTGACAGGGGGAGAATGTATTTCTGCCGCCCGGAAAGCCATAGGAACAAAATCAGAGCGATAAGAGACACGCTACATTCCCTTTGGTAGGCAGCCATCCGAAACAACTTGGCTCACAGAAAGCCCAGCACTTCGTAATTCGCACTTTTGATACACAATGACAACAGGGCAAGTTTGAAAGCTGTAAATTATTTACTGTAGCCGCTACTGGCAAGATTCCGGTCTGACAATGCTCGATAAGAAACAAGTATCCCATACGTACAATTATCGGCTCATATAATAGCCGTCAAAAGAGAAAAGTATTTTCAAAAAAAAAAAAAAGAAATAAGAAAAAGAAAAATACCCAATTCGACCCAACCCAAAATAACCCTTACGCCGATAGAATACTAGCCCTTCTGAGATGACATCGTTTTCTGGTCCCTCCGCTTGCCATTGCAATTCCGTATTTTTGCACAAACTGTTCCGTGTTTGCTTTTTGCTCATTTCTCGTCGCAGGCATTCAATGTCATTTATAGAAATTAAAAAAGTATGAATGCTTCACCTAGACCTGGGAATGGTGCGTCTTGTTCTTGCATGCGGCCGAACACGTTGAACAATTAAATCGAGGCTTGAGAAACCGGCCAAAACCAAAATAGGGGGAGTTGATAGGCGATTCACCAGTGTAGATAAATACGTCGTAGAGAAAACCACCGGTCAGACAGCCTAAGAAGGGGGCAACTATAGGTATCTATAATTCAGCTGTTAGTCTTTATGATGCTGCTTTTCCGTGCAATGACCAATGTTATTACGAGACGCAAGAGACAGGAAGCAAAAGAACATACCCAGAAGTAATAGCCGCCAGCGGAAAAGACTTCAGGGCCGTAACCAGCCATGTAGGTGACTAGTCGGGGGCCAAAGTCACGGGCGAGGTTAATCGCATAACCAGTCTGCCAGCCAAAGCCAGCGCCAATGCCATGAACAAGAAAGAAGAGGCCTAGGGGCTTGAGGGGGCCAGCACCAAAATTGTTGAACTCATCAGACAGTGCAAAAATAATAAACTGGAGAATTGAGCTAGCGAGGAATTCATCAAAGAACATGTTGGTACGTGTTATAAAAGCACCAGCAGGGTAAGTAGCAAAGAGGTCGGCAGTAGCATGAGGGCCAGTGACGGTGCGAACGCCAACGCCGCCTTCAAATTCATCAATGGCGACGCGGTAGTTGCCATATACAATAGCAGCGGCCACTATACCACCAAGTGTCTGGGCTAGAGCGTAGATTGGGAATTTTCGCCAAGGGTGGCCGCGGAAGACACAGCTTGCTAAAGTAACAGCCGGGTTGATGTGGCCGCCAGACTTGCCGCTGACGTACGACCCGAGCATAACACCGGTACTATACATCTCATACTGTTAGCTAAACCATTGCCGTAAATTTGTTTCAGTACGCTATTAGCAAAGGAATCTCAAGACGTACCCCCAGCCCCATAGGATACTCTGATACTCGCCCTTTACGCCCTTGGAAAGGGCGCTCTGTGCAGTAGCGCCTAAGCCGAATAAAACGAGAATCATGGTACCAAAGAACTCAGAAAAGGCATCCTGCCAGATGGTTCGAATTCTAGGCCATTGAAGCTGTTCCATGTTTGGACCTTTGGTGGATTCAGGGTGATAAATAGAGTCTTCAACACCAAGCTTAAGGGTAGGCACAGACGTATTGAAGAAAATATCTGACCCCAAGTTCTGGGCCGCTGAGGGGGTAGCCATGACTACTCCGTGAGTAGGACAAGACGAGACAAGATAGAACCGAGCTAGTCGAAGATGAATAAGAAATGGCGGAGGCGGTTTAGTTGAAGACGTCAGAAAAGTGCAGAACCTCTGTATCACTAGGCCAGATCACTCAAGGACAAAGTGGGAACCAAGGACGAGAAAATGAGCACTCCACGTCTTGGGACGGAAAAAAAGGCTAGAAGACTCGCTGTTCTCTTAGCTTCTTGTACTAATAGCAGATGTACTTCATCCGTAGACAGAGAAGGGAATATCAGAGACAGAGGAGGTTCAAGCTGAATGGGCCGGCGTCAATGTGCCTCTTATTCTCTACTCCCTTGAGCCCATTTTAATAGGCGTTGGCTCCGATGATGTAACATCTCCATATCCAAGACTCATTGGCACAGCTGACAGGCACCTATAATTGAAGCACTGATTTGATAATTATAGAGCAGCTGGACGGGGTTCATTGGCCTACATGATTCGCTAGATCCCAGGCAGAGTGGCAAATGAAGCAATGTGGCATACGCGCGACAACTCGGGACATTGCGATGCTCTCCTACATGTTCATGCACTAGCAGCTTGACGCGACGTACAGTGGAGTCGCCAAACTCATCATGATCAACGCCCAGAGGTGAATGTGGCCCTCACAAATCTGTATTTGAAACGGGCATGACACGGTGAGGTTGCCTAACAGAGAATTGCTATTCAACGCCGCTATCGCGTCTAATTGTCAAGCAAAAAGACTCTATAGCAAAGCCTTGCATACTTTGATGTTCCTTTGACGCGATTCCCTTATACGGAGTTAAGGGGTGGCCAAAAAGGGCTGCCTTTGGCCAATATCGTGGCTTTGCGGTACAGCATTGAACGCTTGAGGACGACACCGATGACAACCCCGGGCGCCCGCACCGTTCAGTCGGCGGGTGGGCCAGAGATCAAGGGTATCCCGGCGAACTGGTCGGTTGATAAAGAAGCAGAGAGTACGGAGTAGGTTGCATGGCGGTTCAAGGCTGACGGGCTCGGTCGCGTTGACCCGACTAACCCTAACCCTCTCTGCTCAATACTGACACTGCAACCGTGTTTGCCAAAGTTGATGACTATGCAGCAGGGCGCCTGGGGGCAAAGGAGACGCAAGGAAACGAGAGCCGAACATTGAATGCTTCCCAGACGTCTGGTTTCGAACGTGCAGAGTTGCCCCGGGTTTGATTGCTTCTTCACCACAGCTCAAAGCCTGGCCTTCCCTGCCAAGCGTGTAGCAGTACGATCAATGTCCAACGATGAATTTTTCCCAAGGCCAAGTTTTGTTCCCCATTCCTCTGATCCGCCAGAACATCATCAATTATCAGCCATCGATCTGAATGGCTCGGAGCAAAAATCGCCATCGCCCCGCGGACCAGTGGGTTGAAGGGTCCGGTCGAGATAAAGTTGAGACACGGCGTTGTTTCGTACACAGCCGCGATTCTCATGCGAGGGCCCCAGTGACGTAACTGTCCAGGGTTCAGCGGTGTTGCAGTTCCCTAAAATGGAGGGCCGCATGATTTTCCTCGACGGGGAGTTCATGGTGTCTGGTTTTATTTAATCAAGGAGACTGACGGTCTGGCGCCTCTGATGTCACCAGGCTTTTACGGGCCGAATGATTTCTTCAGCCCTAACCCTTAATCTTTATCCGGCAGGAAGACATTCCACCAGAATGCGCCGTGATGCTATCTTTTTCGAATCCCGTCAGGGCTTTTATTTATTACACCCGGCTCTTGACGCGACCGCAGAGGATTCGACAGTTGCTGCTCCCAGACTAATCTTTACCGGCAAGGAATTCATGCAGTCTGCCTTTGACGCCTCACTGGTCGAGGGCAGCGTACAAGACGTGCCAGTCGATGCAACTTATCGGGTATAAGGATGCTTCATCATATCTTGCAGCCCATCCAAATGTATCCCGACAAGTCGACAAAAGCTGGAGATAACGGGACTAAAGATGACTTCTTGTTTCCAGACTTGGAAAGGCCAATACAAACCAGTTGGGAAATCTAACATAGAGCCGTCTGCCTTGTAGGCTCCTGAGATACAACACGCATTGGCCCTTTATGACCAGACGTGACGGCGACATGCGACTCGACTGCTGAATTAATTTGCACATTCCCAACCCCAAGGGAAGCTTCCGATATATTACTCAAGAGGGGAAAAGGGTACATGTGGCCGGATTCAAGAGCAGGCCCGATCTAGTCCGGTTATCGAAGCATGATGTGAAAACAGCCATCTAAGATGTCGTCGCAGACCACGAACAATACAAATATAGCCAGGGATAGAGAGAAGAGGAGAAAATTCGGACCCCTACAAAAGTAAATTATACAGTGTAAACCGGAGGTACTCAGATCCCCCGTAGAACGCATCAGATGTCGCCCCGTACATTATTTATAATACACAAAAGTAGCGTAGGGTTGAATGTTTTGACATCCACCGCCCATAAATCACACAGTTCTCCTCGAAATCACCACGCGAACATCCTTTTCTGGCTTCTTCACCCCAGTCCCAGGTATCATAGCAGGCAACTCCCACGTCCCGCTTGCAGGAGCAATATCCCAAATGCTAATAATAGCTGCACCCAAAGACATGATCTCCCTTTCTGCAAACGTACGCCCTTTGCACATGGCCGGGCCAGTGCCCCACGGCCGCAGTCTGCCATACCGCGCTACAGATTTACCAGTCTCCGAGTCCACCTCGAGAAAGCGCTCGGGGATAAAGCGTTCTGGGTCTGAAAATACCAACGGGTCTCGGTTGATCAGCGAAAGCGGTGCAGATACAAACATGCCGGATCGAAGTTGGTGCTTGAATTCGCCATCGTTGACAGTCATTGGCCTCGTAACATATCGTATCGACGTGGGCTCGTTCACCAGCCGATATGTCTCGAATATACTAGCCTTCAGGAGCTGGCAGTTGCGTGACAAGGCGGACAGGTCCATCGACGTGATCTCGGGGGGATCTGCCTGGGATAAGCAGACGTAAGGCGCCACCTCGGCTCGGACTCGATCCAAGAGGCCGGGCGTCGAATAGACGTAGACCAGCAACCAGAAAAGCACAGGGTGTGTATTTGCATTTTGCCCCCATAACATGCCAAAGTCTCCCCATGCGCGTTCTGTAAACGACCAACCCTCTCTCACATATACCCTATTTCGCTCAAAAGCCGTGCTGCTGACGTCGGACATGTCGGCGCCAAAGTCGACGCGTTCTCCTCGTTGATACTGGTCAATTCGCCGGTACAAGGCCTCCATTTCGCGCAGAATTCGGGCTTGGGCTGCCCGTCCCCGCTTGATCATCTCGAATGGAGCCCATGGCGGAATTCCTATCATCAACAACGGGAACAAGTCGTTGTCAAATGTCCAAAAGTCTTCGAGCAGCTGTTGATACCGATTGAGGAAATCTTTGCCATAGAGGAGAGGTATTGCCATGCAGGCGCCGAAATCTCTGGTCAAGCTCTGGAGGTTTGCTTCGACCATGGCTCGATTCCCAGGCCCGGCGGGCGCAATCACTCGAATATCCGCGGAGTGCTCCCATCGTTTCATATGGGCGGCATCAGTAGAAAAAGTGACAAACGAGGCGGCTCGTACCTCCACTCCAGCCTTTTCTACGGCAGCGGTGACGGCGGCCTCGTTGAGGAACAGCCGTTCGACGGGTGCGATAAGATCCTTGAAGGACTTTTCGAGCTTCGTTTTGAGGTTTGGTGAGTCGACGGCCCCAAAGACTCGCGTGAGGAGGGTGTACTGGACAGGTACGGCCGTCAGAGTGTGGAATGGCTGTGACATGAAACGATCTAGCCCGTGAAGATTGACGAGGATTTGGTGGGTTGACGTGATGCCAAATAACGAGCCTCTAAACCGTCTGATTGACGAACTGCAGCATGTTAGGCGTCAGGGGTGACATCAACATCATTGATGCTCTACACACAAAATTCGGCGACCCAAGCCATCCCCACGCAGAATGTAGCTTGCAATGGCAATCTCAATTGTCGCCCAAACTGGAAACAATTTGTGTTTTTTCGGTCTGCATATCATTCTTTGCCATAGCGCCACAAAGATGATGGCAATAATGGTTTTGCACGTCATGGACTCGAAGCAAAGCTGCAACGCGCTGCGGAGAGTCGCGTTTGGCACCGGTCCATCCATGCTCGTGAGAGTCTGGACAAGCCCTGGTCAGGGCCCGATTCGCGATTGTAAGAAATCGATCTATGCGTATTGAGCTTCATACAAGTAATTGAATGATGGTAATTTGGATGATATCTCGTGTCGTCGCAAGTTGGTGATGGCAGAACCAGCACTTGTTCATACTTGACTCGGGCTTTGCAAGATGTTAGGTGTGGGTTGGCGATGGGCTGAGCGAGACATTGCTTTGGTGACAAAGCCAGCATTTTTTCAGCTTGATTGGTTCTACGATGCAAGCTCACCCCGTCTAGGGCTGAACTTGAGTCAACAAGTATTCATTTCTGGCAAATGGGACATGGCGACTGATGTGTGCAATACAGGGCTGAGATTACAGGTCATATTATCCAGGCTGGAGCTGAATCGGGCATCAAGACAACGCCGAGCAGAGTGGCATGGCTGCGGCTACGGTGCCCTACGTCTCGGCAACAGTTACTCGAACCATGTCTAAAGAGAAACTCACATTAGCCGCACCACACTGATAGATGCAGCAACAACCAGAGAATAAGAACAGCGTGAGCCTTATCCTCCAAAGATGTGCGCAACGTGACAGGCAGACACCTTTTCTGAACCCTGCTGAAGTCTACATGTTGCTACAAGCAAGCGAAACGCGTCAAAGTTGAGGCCATCTATCGCCAACCACAACCATGCCGAGCGTTCCAAAAACATTATTTGGGACCAATTACAAAGAGCAAGCGGATCTATGGGTGTACATCAGTAGCAAGATTATCCAATGGTTCAAGAGGACTATACTCTCAAGCCTCATTCCACCTCCGGCGCCTCTCATCTTTATGGTTGAGAGAATCTTCGACTAACGCTACAACGGCAACATAACCCCGAAAAGTTATCTGTGAGGTTTTCAACTTGAAATTAGCGTTCTTGCATATCAGTGGAGTTATCCACGAATCACGATTGGATTATCAAAGGGTCGCACTATTTACAGTGCTCGCGGTCCAGATGATCGTACATGACGGGCAGGGCGGTGGTTGGAGATAGTCCTCTCTCCATCGGACAGGTTGTCATCAGATACACCCCGGACACTATTTGTTTGGCATCAAGCGCCCACATCACGACGGGGCAACTTGGCGGTGTGCTGTGATACTGCGCTTGTTGGGAGGTGCCCATCTCTTCTACAGTTTTCTTGGAGTGTTGACACAGCCGTGCTGTCTGCGTCAGGACAAGTTGATAATGCTCGAATGCACGAGCAGCCCTGTCAGCGCTCCAACCAAAACGACTAATAGGCTAGGCGGTAGTACCACGCCATGCTAGCAAGTACCGTCGTGATATAGTATCTCTCTAACATCACTATCTATATAATCTAAATAGTATTTGGAATCGGGTCTTGGTACCCCGGTGTTGTATCCATGGCGGGATATGCTTTACTAGCTTGCAATTTATGCTATATCTCGCTAGCCTATCTGGCGAGAAGCTAGAAACTACCCAGGTATGAGTTCAAGAGGGGAAATCACGTGAAGGATCCTGCCTTTAAGCGTTTTGGTTCAACCAACGGCACTTCTCTTATACACTCCTGGCAATTGACACGTTTACGATCGACGGTCATTACTAGAGCTTCCGCCATATTTATTATTCAGACAACTAAAATGCCAACAGCCAGGCAATTTGATCAGATTCCCCCCTTTCCCTCCGACACGCCCTCGATTCCTCTACCGAAAGTATCACTCCAGGAGCTACAAGGGAAAAGCAAAGTAGAGGCTAGTCGCCTGTTTGAAGCCTGCCGCGAGTGGGGCTTTTTCTTGCTGGATCTGAAGAACTCATATGAGGGCGAGGTCCTATTACAAGATGCAGAGAAAATGTTTCTTCTCACTGCCGAGACTTTTGCCCTCGATCAGTCCATTCTCGACAGTTATGCTTACCAACCACCCCACGACCTCACTGGGTGCGACCAAGACGTTCCCGATAGCTACCAGCTGGGCAGTCGACTAACATGAGCTACAGGTATAAGCAAAAAGGGAAACTGAAGACGGACGACGGGAAGACGGATTGCATGGAACTATACTCTATCAACCAAGACGACATGCTTGGCAACTGTCCTTTTCGCAAGAACGTTGGACCTATCGAAGACAAGCGAGCCGACATTTGCGAGTTCATTAAACATGCTCACTCGGTCGCGGACGTGATTCTGGCCCGACTCGATGAGCAGCTGGGTCTCGAGCCCGGAACGCTCAGCGCGCTCAGCCCGCTGGATGAGACATCAGAAACCTCTGTCCGTCTGCTTCTTGCGCAGCCACAAGCCAGCCCCCAATACGACTGCATCACGCTCGGCGGCCACACAGACATCGGCACCATCACGCTGCTATTCAATGCAGTGGGCGGCCTGCAGATCCTTCCGGCAGGCTGTGAAAACGCAATGGCCAACTGGCGCCATGTCAAGCCGGAGCCGGGGTGTGTCATTGTAAACATTGGAGACACGATTGTGGAATGGACGGGGGGACTGCTTCGCAGCTCGTTGCATCGTGTGATAACGGCTCCTGGCTCGCAAGCATCGGTCCCACGAAGGAGCGTGGCATATTTGGTTCGCGCTCGGAGCAGTGCCTCGATGCGCAGGCTTAGTGGAGGCCTGATTCCTCCAATAGCTGCGGGTGAGACGCATGAGCTCCGTGGTGTGAATGAATGGGCTGCATGGCGGACGACGCAGATTATCCGGGGCGAACTCAAGCCGCAGACGAGGGGAGGCAACGTGAGGCCGATGAACAGTTGACTGGGCGCATGGAGACGTCCATGTACGTCGTCACACTGGCGGGGAGTGTGCATGTATCTGCATACAACGATATAGCCATGGTGGATATAAGGATAATAACAGGGGACATCTCGGCCCCGAACGTTCTCGATCCGGTTAGACCAGCTCGGTCATCCATGTAACCAGACCCTTCAATGTTCTCATTATGTGATGCGTCACGTTGTACGGTTGGTCCTGAGCCGAGGCTTGTCACCCATGGTTTGTCAGTACATGATCTCTGACGCATTGCTTTGGTCAAATCTCAGATGCGCGTCTTTTTTCATCCGCAACGCTGAGTATGGCAGCACGCCTTCCCATCAGTCTGTCGGCAGCTCTGGACATTTCGCCCTCTGGAGCGGAATGCTCGCTAGAGCTGCCGACGGATATTGCATTTGGCGCAGGTATGTCTTCCTCACCCAACTTGCTTTGAAAGCGTCGATGAACAATTCTGACGTGAACGCCGTCAGTTAGCGTTGGAGGATATGTTGCCTGTGTAATGGCCAAATACGCCGTGCTCTACGCGTCCAACCACCCAAAGATGCGCGGCCAGACCGATATTCGCTCATCCGTCATCCAATTCTATCGACCCCTCTTCGCTGCAAAGTCTGCCATCATGAAGCTCCGTGAGGTGAGCGTAGGCAAGCTGTGGTCAACATTGCGTATCGAGATTTTTCAAGGCAACGACAAGACTGCTGTCTCTGCAGATATCATGTACGCGGATGCCACTTATCAATGTGAAACAAAAGTATACCCCGACTTACAAACCATATTTAGCATCTCCGACTTTTCCTGGTCAGGCATCGTCCTTCAAACAAACTGGCATTTACCAGCACCTCCGCGGCCGGTGGACCTGTCCAAATTAGAATCAGATACCGACCCTGGCTGGGCGTCGTATCAAACAGCGTTTTATCCAGATGGGTTCCGCCGCGGCAGTGCATACGTGAGGGCGTTCATACCCAAGACCTGGCCATCTGAAATCAGATATATCGAGCAATGGATCTGCCCCGGCTGGGATTGCTACCCCCAGGGTTCCTGCGCATTCGAAAAGACGGAAGACAAAGCTCGGTGGACGAACGACATGATTCACTTCATCATGGACTCGGGTCTGCCAATTCAAGAAAACTTCTTTCCACATGAACCCGACAAGCCGCTGCCGATGGGGAGCGTAGCCGCCACGTTAGGATTTGCGGCGGCACAAAAGAAGGCCAGGGAGGAGGGAAAACAGAATTGGAGAGCATTAGACTCGGATGGGTCGAAAACCATGATGACGCAGACGGTTCATGTGACATTGTCCATGTCGACGGAAATAAAGAAGAAGTTGCCGCAAGAAGGGGTTCGTTGGCTGTACCTATGGACGGAGACGAAGAGTATTATCAATGGGAGGATGGATCTGCAGGTGCTTTTGTTTGACGAGACAATGGACCTGGTGGCGGTTACTTCGCATGTTGCGCAGATTATACCTGCAGGGCAGAAAAATCAGAGGAGTAAGAAAGGGCCGTCTCTGTAAGGGTTTGATGGGCCCCGACGGTTTACAAGGTTTGCGAGAATTACCCAATCTGTGCGAATAGATTCATGTACTCCGGCACACACAAGAGGTCTACGTCGGCATTCCTAGTAGACATCCATATTCAAACAAGACATTATACCAATAGCCTTAAAAACCAAAGACACCATATACCGACACGTTATTCCGCCATGAACCATTTGTCATGTTTGATGGTGCTCCGTCCGGCCACCAGCATACTCAGCGTGCCCAGTGTTGACGATCCCTGGGTTTCGAAAACAGCTACATCTGCGTCGAATTCCTTGAAGATCCAATTCCGAAGCTCAATAGCCAGAAGCGAGTCAACGCCGTACATTTGCAGCGGCCTGTCGCGGTCCACAGATGTACCATCCTGCATCGTCGCAAGGGACTTGGCCAGCTTCTGAGTGGCAGCCTCTGCAAATATCTCGGCCGCATGGTCAAGCGACTCGGATGCTGCAAACCGCTCCCGATCCTTGACATGGCTCTGTCCAGAGTATGCAGCCGCGTCACGTCTTTTCCCAGCCAGCATAAGCGGCTGCAGCATTGGCTGTCTGCCAAAGTCGTACGTCTCTAACCCGTCCCCTCTGCCGGTGCCCACGCCAATGGCAAGCTGACTCTGATCCGGAGTCAAAAGTGGCAGCGCAGGATTGCAGTAATAGTCGAGTATACTATAGAAAATTGGTCGTGTGACGGGATCCAGAGCGCCGTACGCGAGAATGCGATTGAGCAGGTTCCGGTCCTCGGCCACAATGCCATCGTCGATCATGGCGCCGAGATCCAGCGAGGTGGCTTTCTCGCCAAGAGACACTCGGTGCCGCGCAAGGGCGTCCTCGTATGTATTCCCCGCGTCGTAGTTTGTCTGGCCTTTGATGCCAGCCAGCCCAGAGGCAGATGAGAGGAGGATGAAAAAGTCCAGCCCGCGAGGTAAGACGGCATGGAGATTCCAGGAACCTACCGTCTTGCAACGTACGGCAATCGACCAGTCGTCGTATTCTAGGTCGTCAAAGAGGCAGTCCTGCAGATGGGGCGGTCAGCAAGCCATGATGGAACGAGGGAAAAGTATGCACTTCCTACCCTTGCAATGACGGACATCTGAAGAGCGCCTTTGATGGGTGGCATTTCTGGCATCAACTTGCCAAAGGTCTCCCTCATGCCCTCCAAGTCGGTGACATCACAAGCTGGAGTCTCTACACGCACTCCCTTGGACTGCAACTCGTCTACCAGTTTCTGAGCAGAGTCGGTTCGGACGCCAAAGCGCGAAACTAGGATCAGGTTCTTTGCGCCGCGATCCGCCATCCAGCGAGCCGTGGCACGGCCGATGCCCCCAAGTCCGCCTGCAATTACAAAAGTCGCGTTGGAATCCATGTAAAAGCTAGGTTTAGTGCTGATAGTTGCCTAAAGACCATGGTTTAGTTTCTAGATCGCTTGCCATGGTTGGCTTTGTCTCTCTTACCTGGACCTGTGATTCTGGATTCACCTCGAATACAAACTTGCCTATACTGTCTCCACGATGGATCCTTTTGAAGACTCCCCCAACCTCCGATATGTCACAAATGTGCAAGGGTAGCGCAGAGTGAAGTTTTCCTTGAGCAAACAAGTCCATAATCTTCGACAAGTCCCGACGGGCGAGGGTGAAGCGCTCCTTGAGCCAGGCAGACGCATCAAATACAATGAAGGTGACGTTTTCTCGGAGCCCAGATAAGTGGATGGTGGTGTTCGAAACGAGTTTCTTTTCGCCAATCTCGACAAAACGACCATGCGGCGCGACGCATTTCAAAGATGCGAGCAACCCATCGCCTACCAAGGTGTTGATGACCACATCCACGCCTCGACCATTCGTGACTCGTTGAATGCCCTTTTCGAAGCTCGTGTCACGACTATAGAAAATGTGTTCCTCTGGAACCTGGTATGCATCGATGAGAAGCCGTTTCTTCTCCGCCGATCCCACGGTCGCGTACACGATGGCGCCAAGTGACTTTGCAAGTTGAATCGCGGCCTGCCCTGTGCCACTGGCTGCCGTATGGATGAGAATCGTCTCGCCTTGTTCGAGTCGAGCAAGGCGGTGAATCACTTGCCATGCGGTAACGAACTGCGCCGGTATTGCTGCTGCATGGGCAAAAGTCATATCATCGGGAATCCGGGCAGCAACTTTGCCCCTGGCCAATGTTTTGAACGTCGACGGTGCCGTCATGACGACACGATCTCCTGCTTTGAAACACGTCTCGGATCCTGCCCGAGTAACGACACCAGCACATTCTTGTCCCATGACGCCATGGGGCATCCTGCCCATTGCAGTCAAGTAGTCTTTAAAGTTCAGACCAATTGCGTGGTTTTGCACTTCTATCTCGTCTGCCTCGAGAGGCAGCTGGTACGCCTGGTCTTCTTCAAAATAGAGACCATCGAGAACACCGACGGACTGAATGGTGAGTGAGAGTGGTGGCGCATCTCCGACCAACACCTCGCCAGAGTTGCGTTCTTTTGCATTTCGATGTATCTCGTGCATGACTTTGGTGGCAGGCACAAGGCGGGGGATTTGTAAAGTCTCTCCCATCTCGAGATATTCGACATCCAAGATGAAGGGGTTGGGCTCAATATGCTTCGCGTATAATAGCTGAGTAAGAGCGCCTATTTGTCCTTCAGACAACGCGTCCTTGGCATCAAACGCAACAACCGTGATGCTAAGACTGGCGTATTCATTGTGAAGGACTCGCGATAGACCGTGGATCAGGGCGTAACCTGGATGGCCGGCATTTGATCCGCCCGCGAACGTTGGCCATAAGACATTATTAGTGGACTGCAGGAGAGTTTTCAACTGCCCATAAGCTGGCCTTGTCAAGGAGTACAAGAACGGCCGGTCTAACTCGAGTAGGATGACGAAAATTGCGGTGTTCCTCTGCTCAGAATCAATTGCCTCTTCCAGAGTTCCGGTCCTGATTTCACGTATGCCTTTGCGCTTCCAGTAGCTCGTCAGTGCGACCGCTGTGGCTGTCTGCAGGGTTGATACTGGATCCAACGTCAAAAAGATGCTGACTTTTTGCGTTTGTTTCTCAGCTTCAGGGATATGGCTGTAAATGCGGGCAACGGATTTGGTATTTTCGGTTGACCCTGGTGCCTCGAGCTCCAAGCGCATCTCTAGATGGTCTGATTTTCTTGATAGCTCCTTGGCCGCCGGACCCTTGCTTGAAGCATGCCCGTCTGTAGATGATTCCGAGAAATCCAGCAAACATAGCCTTCCACAGGGAGCTAGAATGCCATGGAAGTTTCCTAACACTGTTTCGTCGCCTCTGACAGCATCGGGAGCGATGATCATGTCGTATAATCCATCTATTCCCTGTTCGCATGGGTCTCTTTTGGTATCAAATGGTACAAAGTTGATATCCTGGAAATCTTGAAATTGTTTCTTACAACTCTCCGGATCCTGACTGGGGCTAGTTCCCAAGGTGAAGGAGAGGTATCTCGGGTGCATGATTTTACCAGTATGCTGGGCGTAGACAGTCAAAGCTTTGAGAAAGCGGGCTGTCCATTCGGGATTGTTGGTACCGGCCTCTAAAATACGGAGACTCCCATTCTTATGTGTAATTAAGTCAACATATCGCTCAAAAGGAGTTTGACTTGGAGGGAGATCCCTTTGGCAGACAGACATTACGGCCTCAGGGCTCAAAAGATCTGGCTCAGGCTTGTGTTCCACATGGTAGGGTATATGACGAGTCTGATCTGTCTGGATTGCGGCATTCCCATTCTGGTCGGCAACCGTCGTCAGTTTCAGGCCTTGAAAATGTACCAAGAGTTCATCCTTGGATGAGTTGAGAGCAAACCCATGGACATCCGCGCCATTCTGATGCATCTCCAACCAAGAATTCTGATCAACTTCGGTGGCACCAGGAAAGCTCAGGCCTTGCTTGCTGATGAAGAGGTTTCTGATAAAGGTTGGGATCATGGTACGCGCTGTCACCTTGACTCTTGTATGACCAGCAATCCCCATGTGCAATATACCATCCAAGGTCGTGGGATGAATCACATGGATCTCTGGAAACTCATGCTGGGGCCACTCGAAAAGACTAACTTTGCCTCTGACGCGTAGCTTGTCGTCATAAAAGGCCTCTGTCACTCTATGGAAGGAAGGTCCAAGTCCCAATCCACTCTGGGATAGGCCGGAGTAGAATGTCCCAATGTCAAGGGGTATTACGCATTCCTGTTCCATAGAGAGGGCCTGTTGCACAAACGACTCGAGTTCCTTGGTCTGTTCTTTGCCGTTGTCTATCTCATTTGCGACTTGCTCATATCTAGCTCGGATGAATCCATTGCAGCACTCCTTCCAGTCGTCGTCGGCCCATGAAAATACTCGAAACTGCGATCTTTGGTCTAGAGGCTTCGCAGATTCTGCTGTCAGGTGCATGACGAACTGTGTCTCGACGCCTACCGAGTCTCGTGAGACGTTGAGGGGCCTTTTGAACGACACGTCGCTTATGTCGAAGCCGACAACGCCGTCGCTCGCCTTTGTCAATTGATTCGCAGCCTCGACTGCCATGACTATCATGCCAGCTCCTGGATAGAGCAAGACTCTATTGACAGAATGGTCTTCGATCCAGGACATTTCCGAAACGCGAAGGAAGTTTCGCCACCTAGCTTCGAAGCGATTCCAGTCGCTTACCTGCTGGCCTAGCAAGTCCAGCTTGCCCTCTCGCCCAAGCCTATAATTCGCACATAACCTCGACTCGTCCCAGTACTTCTGAGAGTGGTCAAAAATGTACTCCGGTAAGTTAGGCAGCGACATGTAATGTTCCCATGGTTTGGCTTTAAGATTGTTGACTGCCATCATGCTGACCGGGTAGCCAAGGCATTTCAGATCGCCAACGGCGTTAAGTGCAGACGTGGTTGCAGGGTTCTTTCTGATCAGAAGTGAAGAGTATCCAATCTGCGATATCCGCCGTGTTGTCAATATGTCGTTGATTGGGGCTCGGAGTGCCGAATGTGGTCCAACCTCCAGTAGCGCATCGACCTTGAAGTGCTTCCGGTGGCTGAGGTCAAGTTTGTTGCGCACTCTTTGAGAAGATATGGATAACAAAGTATCCATGGCATCAAGAAATAGAACCGGCGACAGCATATTCGCGACCCAATATTCGCTATCCAAGAGGTCCTTCGCCTCGACTCGCTTGCCTGACATGGAAGAAATCATAGCCACCTGGTTTGGAGGAGAAATGCCAGGCTTCAGGCCCTGAATTGCTTTGCGATAAGCATCTGCCGCCCGCAGCATATCTGGTGAGTGATATGCATGATCGACAACCAGCTTCCGAGCAAATGTCTTTTTCTCATCCAGCACGGATTTCATGGCGTCGAGTTGGTTCACATCTCCCGATATAGTCACGTTCTTAGGGCTGTTAACACAGGCGATTGTGAGCCTTGATACACCAAACCGATTTGTAATCTCATCAATGTATGGTTGCACGGCCTCCTTCGAAAGTCCAACTGACATCATGCCCCCTTTATGCCCTGCTGTCTCTGTGCTTAAAAGACCAGATGAGCAGCCCCTGTAGTATGCGAGCTTCAAAGCAGACTCGAGAGACAATGCTCCGGCACAGTACGCGGCCCCAATCTCTCCCGAGGAGTGCCCTACCACAGCAGTTGGGTATATGTCGAAACTGACGAGAAGATCTGAAAGAGCAATCTGAAGGGCGGTGCAGCACGGTTGAGCAAACTCGGGGGTGTTGATCCTTGGGTTGGGATTTTTCGTTAATTCTTCACGCAGACGCCATGAGCAACCAAGGACTGATAAAATTCCTTCTGACCGTTGCAGGCTTTGTTCAAAGGCGGGGAATACCATCAACTCTCGTCCCATTCCAGCCCATTGTGCACCTTGTCCAGTGAAAACGAATCCAAGGCTAGGGGTCGATATTGATTTCGTGGCAGCAGATATCGTCTTATCAATGTTTTCAAGATCTCCAAATGAGCTTACAACCGCAGACGACTTCCAGGCCAGGGAACTTCGTCTGACATCAAGCGTGTATGCCAGGTGATCAAGGAAGCTGGGATCCAAAGGGTCACTCAACTTGGAGAAATAATCAGCGAAAGCCTTGGCTTGTCTTTCGACTCCTTTCTCGTCATTTGCAGAAATCACAAGAAGCTTTGGGCGTTCCAGTCGCTTGGTATGATCTGAATGAGAAAAACGGTGCATCAGGCCGAGCAAATTGACCGCATTTAATTCAAGTTCGGATTTACTTGGGGGGTCTCGGACTGTGAGATGCGGTGCTGAAAGGCCGTTTGATTCAAGATAATGGTAGACGTCGTCAAGAACCACATGCTACAATTGCAATTAGTCCTGCGTTTTAAAAAAAATATAGTTGTCCAAGTTCCCTTACAGCATTGGTTCCAGCATTTCCAAAGGAGTTGACAGACGCTCGCCGAATGCCAGTAACGGGCCATGGCATAGTATCAAGCGGAAACTGCCACCGTAGTTAGCAACCATATTCAGCAGAGTTTATGTTGATAGTACCTGAATATTCAAAAATTCGGCATCAATGGTCGGATTTATCTTCTCGAAGTTGGTATTAGGGGGAATAACTCCCCTTTCCAGGATAAGCATTGCCTTGACTACGCCAGCAATGCCGCTTGCTCCTTCTAAGTGACCAATATTACTTTTTATAGCACCAACCCAGAGGGGGTCATCCGCTGTTCGGACTTGTCGAAATGCCGATCCTAAGGCTTTTGATTCAATGGGATCCCCGGCAGAGGTACCGGTTCCATGAGCTTCAAAGAATCGGGTAGGCTCCATGCTCAGGCCGGCCTTGTTGTAAGTGTCACGAATCAACCTCTCCTGCAAAATAGGATTAGGCAGGGTGATACTGGAGGTCCGCCCATCCTGGTTGCACCCGGTGCTGCGAATGATACCGCGAATAGTATCGCCATCTCTGATAGCATCAGATACTCTTTTAAGAACCAAAACTCCAAATCCCTCTCCTCGACTGTATCCATTGCCTCGGTGGTCGAAGCTGTAGCACTCGCCGTTTGGGGACAGCATGTTCAGGTTGGTCAGTGAGTGCATATTGTCCGGTGATAATATCACATTGCATCCGGATACGATGCTCTGCCTCGTGTCAGCAAAATTCGAGGCAGCACGCTTTTCTCTCTATTTCGGGGAGCTTACCATGTCTTCATCGCCGCATTGCAAGCCCCGGCAGCCAATATCCAAACACACTAAGCTGCTGGAGCACGCTGTATCGATATTTGCACTGTTGCCAGTGAAGTTGAAGAACCAGCTTACTCTGTTGGCATTGAAGCATGGCTGTATACCAAGTGCCGTAGTTGTTTTACACTGCTCTCCATCTTTGCACTGCAAATTCTGCCAGTCATTCGAAAAGACTCCAGAATAAACGGATGTTCTGGTACCGGACACCTTCTCCATTGGTAATCCGGCTACACGTTCCATCAGCGCTCCGACTGAAGCAAATTTACGACAAGGGCAGTCTCACCATTTTCAAGTGCTCTGTAAGTACACTCAAGGAGTAATCGTTGCTGGGGATCCATGACCTCGGCGTCTTCTTTTGATGCCGCAAAGAAAGGAGCATCAAAACCAGCAAGATCATCATCTAGAAAGTGACCCCGATTGACCGAAATCTATTAAGTTCAGCAATGCAAGTATGGTCTACTCCTCAGGGGTAGCTGGAACTTACCTGGCCACGTCTGTGTACGCCAGGATGATACATGGCGTCAACATTCATTCTGGTCTTGGGAATCCTTGTAGCGGTGCTTCTTTTCTCCAGCATCAGCTGCCACAATGCATCTGACGTCGCAACCTGTTGCGGAAAGTTGATTGAGAATCCAATAACTGCAATGGCTTCTACTCGTTCCCGGCTTGTTTCAGGTCTAACGCGGCTTCCAAGGCCCCGAGGGGACGTATTTTCTCTGTGAGGCGCCATAGCAGAAGGAGTTGAGCCTTGAGGTGAGTATTGGAATGACAAATGAATGGATGCTTTTCCCATGGGTAGATACATATGTCAAGTAGTCTTTATAACCCTTGCCACAGCCCCAGTACCCCCAATACAAGGCTAGTTTGTGCATTGATCCCCGCAGAGTCGGCTAGTATACAAAAGCATGGTTCTGTAAATCACCGAAAGAAAAGGTCGCCCAAAGCAGAATTATCTTTACTGACGCAGACAGCATTGACAACGTCCAAGCTTATCCATACCCAATGATGATACAAAGAACAGTCTGCTTACAATTCTCAGGGCATATAAATACTATTTATAGCGCAGTCTGTCTCTGCGAGGGGGGTTAGAATGCACAAGAGTTGGCATATTCTCTAACGATTGGCTTTGCCCTGAACTAGCGACGACGAATGCCAAGTGTTTCAGTGACCAGGGAGAAATCAGTCTCGAACTCCGCATCATCCCCGGCCCAGTTATTACTTGACTTGTTCTTGTGTAACCCGCGGCGAGTTCAGGGCGTGCTGCAGCACCTTGCAGAAGCTCCAGCAGGGAGCACCGAACAGATGTGCCCTGTGAGCCAAGGATTTTGCGGCTCGGCATCTTCAACTCGAAGACACAGCTGGCCAATGTAACTTTGGGATGCAGGGACACTTCCACAGACTCGGAAGAAACTACGAGACCATGTCGGCTCTGAGGCGGGGAGATGACGTGAGATGGCACCGTTTCGCCCTCAGAACTCCGGTCCGCAAGTAAACTTAGTAAAGTAGGCGCATTTGCGAACAAACCAGGCAACTGACCCGGGAAATACCGTTGCACCAATTGCTGTGTGGTACCGAGCATTGGACGCTGCATACGGAGTAAGTCATCAAGACCGCATCAGTCATCACACCCCGGAGCCCGTGGCCGGGAGCCGCATTTTCTATGCGGCAAACTGCATATCGTCGAATTGCATGTCGAAATGAGGGCCTGGGGTGTACGCAAATGCGGAGTGCTTAACAGATCGAACAAAGCCACTGGGAGGCGCCGTTTTGCCTTCATTGCAACCCTGCAGCCTCCGGTATTACTGCAGCTGTGCCACCATCTCTCTCCAGTCTCTTCAGCCTTTCAATGGGTGCTTACCAACAAGCCTTGGTCCGCGCCAGTGTGCCAGGTGCCGTCAATGTAGCCCTCGTTCAGACCACGACATTCACTAGTGCCTTTAACGTCTTGCAAGAAGAAGCCGTCTTGATCTTCAACCAACAAGACCGGGAGCATCATACAACGATGAATCAAGAGTATCCCGAAGTCCGTTCTCCGTAGTACCGTACACTTGATTTATAATTATTAGTCAGGATATTCTCGAGCAGTGTAACCTCACTTCATCTTGTTGGCATTGATGAATCCCTTTAGAGCAGCAGTCAAGGCTCCAACAAGTTGTCCATGTCTCTCCACTAGACCCTGCAAGCACCCTGGCACAACCCCCCAATCGAATGATTGGTACTCCTTTTCCTGCAGGCTTTTGGTGGTGATAGATTGGATCAGCAGGAAGTGCCTATTGGTTTAAACCCTTGAAAGATACATTCTCAGAGCCTTGACTGCTTTACAGATGCGCATGTACACGCCTTCCAAATAAAAGGCCTCATGTGCGGAAGTTTCCGACACGTCAGCATCGATATCAAAATGGAATAAATTTATGATACCGCTAAGAAGCAGTTTCGAGCATAATAAAATCATACAATGAGGAAAATGAAACAAAATTTTAAACCGTTTCGAGTAACCCCCAAAGGCCGTCCATATCCATGGAGTAGATACTTGACCACAGCGAGCATCTAACATCGAGCTGCTGCAAGGCGATGCAACATGGGCGCAACCTTGAACATACACTTACCCCTTCTTCTGCCGTGCTCCACCATCTGCATCTCCGATTCCGGGTAATGCCATTTTGAGAGAGGCATCAAGCAGGATGACGGTGATTATGGGCGACCCAACATTGGCCCGTCTCGTCTCGTCTACTGGACTTTTTATGCCGTACTATTTTGGTGCCTGTACCTATGATTGGCTGTACTAGGGTCTAATGTCTGTAGATGCCAGTCAGAAGCTGTCTGGTGCCACGAAAAGAACCAGACATTCTCCAACACATTCCGTCGACGGAGTGTAACAGATATAATCGCATCAAATAGAAGGCAGCCGCAACTTGCTGAACCTTCAGATGTCCTGCCCATGAATTAATATCACGATTCTAACAGCCATGCGTTTTCTCTGTCTTCATGGGCTTGGCGCCAACAGCCATGTGCTCGAAACCCAATTCTGTGAGCCTCACATAGCTCTGGTGTATTTGGATCCAAAGGCCCCAAAATAGCTAACAAAGTATGTAGCCGCTATTCGCTACGAGATGGACCGCCACCATACGTTCCATTTCGTAGAGGGAACGGAACTCGTGCCCGCCGCAGCGGGTGAGTCTTGTCGTTGTCCCTGTCTCACGTCGCACCACGCGGATCAAAGGCTAATGATGTGCCAACCATGTAGAGATTAAAGCATACTACCCATCAAAGGATTCATACTTTGGCTACTACCATACAGCGGCCGACAGCGTGTCGCGCGCGCTTGTCCAGCTCCACAAGTATCTCGCGGAAGAAGGCCCCTTTGACGGCGCAATTGGCTTTTCACAAGGCGCGGCCCTCATCGCCATGTATTTACTGCAGTGCAGTCAAGACAGGCCAAACCAACCGCTTCCTTTTCAATGCGCCATCTTCTTTTCCGCCAGCAGGCCCTTCGACACTGCTGCGCTGAAGGATGGAATTGTGCAATGGGCGGAGGAGCCGACTGGAACAGATGGCCCACGCCTCAACCTTCCGACCGCACACATCTGGGGAAGTAAGGATGTAGAATATCGAGGACAGTGCAAAGTACTGAGTGGGATGTGCGATGAGGCTAGGCGATACACGTTTGTCCACGGAGGGGGCCATGAAATCCCCGGTCCGAGAGCAAAGGAAGATATGCATGGGTGTGTCCGAGTGATTCGTCGCATTATCGAGAGGGCTTCAGTGGAGGCCTGAGGTGTTGGTCACACTTCTACAGTGTTATACGGGTTAGACCCAAGTATATGTCCATCACAGCTCAATACGATCACTCTATTATCTGGCGGTTAGCACGGCACGCTAATGTGTGTGACAGCCCTCCTTCCGGTGTGTAAGACACCCAACTGGGCTAGCGTAGATGGGGATGAATACAATGCTCTGATGTACGTAGTACTGGGCGTTAAACTTCTTTATTGTGGCTGTAGCTGGATCTTGGCGCCGGGGGCCAGCCATAAGTTGCCGCGTACGTAGTTGTGCCGTGACTTGGTGGAATAGAACCCGACTCCCATTGCAGCGCGACAGAAGATTGTTATTTTCTTTATTCGGCTTGCTTAGGCTAACCCAGTTGGTATCTCATGCCGAGGGAGGCTGTCACACCTTGGGTTGCTTACTCCGTAACTGTTCTGATATGATTTGTATAAATCCACCCCCAAGGCAGCAGGTTTCAGCTCTGGGGGCCAAAAGATACCCATGGCCAACATTTTGTCATTCCCAATTGGTGACCAAAAAAAGAAGCGAATATCCCTGTGGCAATACGGAGTAAGCATTTCACTGTTGGACTCGGTGGAACCTAGACACGGGATAATGAGCACAACGGACTCCGTACACAGCGACGTGAGGACAGACGCCCAAGGAAACCCCCAGCCTGTGCCGTCGAGAATCGGATCCTTCAAAGGGGCGAAATCCGTTGACGAGCTCAGCGTCCAATCCAAAGACCCGCCGTTCTTCAGCCTACACGTCCCGCGGGTTGTTGGGGGCCGCTGACTCTCTTTAGGTTTCGCGATCCCCCTCGCCTTGTTGCGATTTCTAGCCCATTCACCTTGCTGGGTTGTATCGCTCATTGGAATTTCACCCAATGCTACATATGTCATTTTCGAGCCTTTGAGGTTTTTGGCGGCTGTCATGATGGCCCCCGACGAGAACACATCTTCTCACGGCACCACCGCTGGTATTTTGGCCGAGTACTATGTTCTATTTCTCATTGCCTCCGCTCTCATCGCGGTGAGAATATACGTGCGGCTTCGCGTGGCCAAGAATTGGGGTTGGGATGACTATTACATCATTGTCGCATGGGTATGTTCGCCATTTGTTGCGAAAATTTTGCCTTTTGGAATATAACTGACCAGCCTTTTTGATATTGGAATGATAGATATTTCTGCTCATAGGACTTGTGCTCGTTCAGATGGAGGCTAATCTTGGCCTCGGCCGTCATCTCCACACTCTAGAGGATCCGGAAGACAAAGAGCTTGGCATTCTCAAATTCAACACCTTCTTCCAGATGGTCAATGTGCTCTGCACCTTGTTCACCAAATGCTCCATCAGTATTTTTATTCTTCGAATTCGGGACAGCAAACGGCTCCGCTGGGTATTGGGGCTGCTCATGGCCTTGATGACCTTGGCCACGATTGTAGTCATAGTTGTTCTCTCCGTCTCGTGTATCCCACTGCAGAGGCTTTGGGACAAGCATGTTGCAGGAATCTGTATTCCTCTCGTAACCGTCTACAACGTCGCTTACGTCCAATCCGGCTTCACGATTGTCATTGATCTCTGTTTAACGACGGCGCCTGTTCTCATTCTGTGGAATGTAAAGGTAAAACGGGGTCGCAAGACGTTTATTTGCCTCTTGATGAGTTTAGGTCTCATCGCCACCGTCTCTAATGCTCTCCGGAACTACTTTCAAAATGGGTTGACCACGCCCGATATGACATGTATGTTTTCGCAGCTTCTTTGTCGATCTCATGTTGTGCTGAAAGCATCATCTCTCTGTTTGCTGACAATAGAAAACAGATGATATGACCGGCGTCACTGTTCTCGCTATTCTTGAGCTTTGCTCCGGTATTATTGCCGCTAATATCCCTGCCTGTATGCCGCTGTTCACACGGCGACAGAAGACGGTGCGCACGGCGACTTGCCTCCCTAACGGAGGCGGAGGCTACATGATGAATACGAAATCCGCTGCTTTGGACACGCCGTCTAGCTCTATTCGAAATCATGAAAGCCTGGATGCAGAAGACAACGCCTCCATTCGACAACTTACTCAACCGTCGAAAGTGGCTATGCTTGGGCCACACGCCGTTTAGTTTTCTTGTACTAAAACGCATCTATTCATCGGCTGCCAACATGCCAAATCTACTACGGTGACCAATGTTTCAAACCACCTAGACTTACGGGAGGACGGACTCTAACCAACATGTTGATACCATTCCAGCCCCATACGAGGCTGTAGTCAAGCATCCAAGGGAAGGAGACAGGAATTTTTGGATGAGTAGGTGGCAGAGGTCCTTGAATAAAGGTCAACGCTCGATTTCCTAGTACTACAGGTCAGATAATGTCCAACTTCCATCAAAAGTTAACAAGGAGTTCAAACTGCGCCAGACTCTCTAGTCTCTAGCTCTCAACTCTTGACAAGTAAAGGAACATTTCAAGTGATTTACTTCTGAGGTAATGAAGCCAGACAGCGCTAGATCTAATAAAGCTAAGATTATCACAAAAAATCAGGCATGCTCTAATTGCTGCGCAATTAGTACCGTCAGCGGAAAAAGCCTCCTATTGATCGGTATCGTCGAAAAGCCTCACAATGGCTCGCCACGGCCCTATTGAAGCCGTCAATTTCAATACAGATACATATCTCATTAAACGACTCAATTGGTGACCTAAAATATCTACAAAAAGGGTCTAACCTACCTAGCAAGATAGCTTCAATCAATGTCTAATTCCACTGCTCAATGCCAGCCGTAGCTGCCAATCGTGACGTGCAGCAATAATACAAACTCCGAAAAAAAATGACAATGTTAAGTTCTTCCAAAGAATAAAATTTATGCGTCCTGTTGCGTCAACGAGGATGATATTAGTAGCGATGGCGGCAACAACTGCATTACTAGCTATCAAAAAGAAGCTCAAACCCTGAAAGAAAGCAACAATTATTCAGACCTTTTATATTTAGCAGCTCAAATCCATCTAGATATCTTGATACAAGCCAAACCCAATTTTGAATTCTTGGATAGCAACATCGTGATAGATGCAGTTGATAGACAGGTTGGGACCATCCCAATTGAACATTGTGAGGTGTAGTGCAAATGTCGCAAAAATCGATAGGCTATGTATTCACCGGCGGCGTATCATGCTATCGCCTCTCAGTTCATCTCATCTAAACATTTAAGGAATGAGAGAGTTTTGCGTACAAAGGAAGATAAAAGTATTGTACTCCGTAGAATGTACAGGAAAGATATCCAAGAGACCAATCTCAGTAGTATCGCGCGCCACTATACCTGGTCCCGACGACAACTCAGCTTTCGGTAGTGGCGTGAGATTTCAGAAAGAAACTGCATTGAGCGCAAACCCTGGCACCTCAGCCAGAATAAACAACCATTCCAATCCAGCCAGATCGAGCCCCGACTGAAGACAGGTTGAGGTACTGAGACAAGCTAGGTGTACGGTCGCCGCCCTTTGACCCCCTGAGATCAAACACAGCGACCGCCGGACTACCTTGGAGAACATAAAGACTCGAACGATCCACGGCGGAATCAAAAGAGCAAGTAGATTGGGTGTCCCCGGTGATGACAAACTTGGTTCGGCCGGACATGGGGTCAAGGGCGATGATGTTGGGCGACGCGCCGTCAGACAAGTATACTGTGTCAAACTCCGGCGCGAAAACGGACCAACAGGTAGCGCCCTGGCCAGGTATAGTGATCTGGTTAGAGGCAGTGACGGAGAGATTCCTATTGTACGAGGCACCGTATGCCGGGTCTGTGACGACGCCAGTCGAGTCGGAAAGGAAAGTCAGGGAGAAATCGAGCATTGAGCCTGGCGGGCGCGAGATGACGGGCTGCGGGTTAATACGGCCATTTACGACTTTGTAGGCGTATACATAGCCGCGGCCTATACCATTGCCCTTGATGGTGACGAACAAAGCCGTCTGTGAAGGGTTAAAGACGATGTCGGAAACTGAATTTGGAGGGCCAACAGAGGGTGTTGTCGGAGTGACGGGCAGCGGCATGTACTCGCCCAAAAGTTCGAGATGGTCAAGAGTATTAAAGCACTGGACTCCCGCTCCTCTTCCGGTATTCGCGACGCACGCCATATTGTTCTTGTCTGAAACAGCCACCGAGTTGGGAAATTCGCCGCCGATATGAACAGGCTCGCCTACACGCTTTAGACTGGCAGGGTCCGCGTCGGATATTTCAAACAGGGCTATCGCGTTGAGCCGGAATTTACCGTGTAGAGGTATTTGCCATTGACCACAACAGAGTCCTGGGAGAACAGAGGGTCTGGATTTGGGGTCGGTTAGTTTCAGGCTCTTTGAGCTACGTTGTCTGAGGATTTCGGGTAAACGTACCGACACTGACTGTCCCATTCATGTTCTGGGCAATAGACTCGCGTTCACCAGTTGGGGTACGCACAGCTCTGCTCTTATCCAATAAACCATCTTGCAGGATCGGCAATCCGAGATGGAAGCGCCGGCTGGATTGCTTTCAAGGAAGTAAAGAGCTCGCTTTGAAGGGCCAGGTTTTGGAATGAGGACGCCACCGGAAGGGGCAGAGTTGTCCTTGACGCCTTTTTCACATCCCTTCTCGCACTTTGAAGGGACGCAATGAGCGGCTTCGGTGCATGCATACATGGTGTTGCTGTACTTTTCGATAACGGTGGTCTCGGTGACAGCTGTGACAACGGCACCAGAGCTTTGGACCTTGACATAGCTAAGAACACCGCTGTCGCAGATAAACTCCGCTCCGGACGTGGCCTGGCTGTACTTGACAGCGTACCCAGGAACGTACTGACCCTGAATCTTGGTAAAGACGCGGCCATGCTGTTCTCGCTCGCATGTCTCGAAACGGAAGCTGCCCTTTCGGTCCAGGTCATATACCACGCGCCAGAAGAAGCCGGTGGCGCTGCCCGGCAGGTTGGTGATTTCGCGGTGTCCACTGCGGATCTCGAACTTGAACGATTGTGAGAGCGTAAGGAACTCTTGGACTCCAATGGTAGGTCGGGGGCTATTTGGCACGATACTTGACAATGTGGTGGTGCTTGGCCCAAGTCAAGTTGGACGGAACTTACTGCCAGCTTCCTGGGCTAACAGCTGCTGTACCTACCAGTGGACTAGCTTTGGCAAGTCCAACCATCACGGCGAGACTTGCGGAATACTTCATTTTAACGAAAGGCAGAAAGGAGAAAAAAATGCTTTGGAATAGCTCGAGTCTGGACTGTATGTTTGAACTAGCCATCATCATGTCGCGGCGAATACTTGGCATTGTATACGTATGTTCAATTCGTTGATTATTGTAAAACAGATGTAAGTGACTTCAAAAGATTTGGGGCCTTTCCACGGGGCAATAGTTGCAATAGGCTAGAAGGCAGCACAGAGGCTCATACCGAGTTTCGAGTTGACATGGAACTTTATTTCCACTTGGGGCGCGGCGCGTAACCCAACCGGAATGTCGTGTGCTGATAGTGGTGGACTGGGATGGAATGGACTAGTCCTCGCTACTTACCAATATTGTCACAGAATGTGTTGGTAGCGTGGCCGTCTTTAAAACCGGAGTAAATGGTGGTATTAGTAAGGTTGAGGGCGTTCCGGGCAGCGATCTTGTTGTAAAAGTATACACCCTTGGGGTGCGTGGTGCTTTCCAACGCTTTTTGCCGGCCAAGCACTTCCCGTCGTGTCTTGAGGGGCTGGTGAATCTGAAGATGGGGCTCCCATTCGAAACTAATGCCAATATACTGCCAGGCTAGCGTCTTACGTATGTCAGGGGTGACATTTGTCTTGATCAAGGTTAAGGCAGGGGTGTGTTGAAAAGTCTGGCCTGGGGTCGGGTCGTCGGGCTCGGGCTCGGGCTCGGGCTCGCCTTGGCCGCTGAGCGGACCCTCAGGCTCCGGAGTAGGCGTCTTTGTTCCGTCAAGTTGGTGTTGTCTGGTCAGTCTGGCCGGAGGTGCGTCTAGCACGGCGGCGGGTGACTTTATTTTTCTACAGTGACTATCCTTGTCGCTAATCATAGGAGTTCAGCAGACAGCCGCTAACGCCAACCCAAGTCAGAACTACATTTGTCGTGCCCGCGGGAAATACGAGCGAGCGCAACTGTTATGCTCTGTTAAGGCAGGGTCACCGAACTCGACGCGGCTGTGCGGCATCCCGGACTCGGAGAATTATCCGGTGTAGCCTTGTGGGTATGCACGATAGAGGCACCTGGGGTCTTGTAGATAAGTAAACTAAAGCATCAATGATTCCTCATCAAATAAGAACTAGAATGGTCACATTAGGCTGTTTAGGGCTCCTTAGTCCTGCAGTGTATATGGACATGCCGCACCGGACATTAAGTCGGTGATGATGGATTCATTGCCCGAACTAAACTGGAAGACAAACACTCAGCCCCGTTTCTGTAGAACTAAACATTTCGAATATCAGTACGCAGTATTTGTCCCCGCCAAGACAAGAAAAGGGAGGTGTACAGCCATTGATTGCATGCTGTGCGTACAGACTGTTTCCCCAGCACCATCGCATGGCAATTCCTTCTTGGCTCCTATGCACGAGAGGCTTGAGCACCTTTGCTTCACCAAGTTACGACTGGACGTTGCCCGATTTGGCAAAAGCTGACGCCTTCCTCCTATCCTAGGGACAAAAGTAGTTTGGCTCGCGTGGATGGACGTCGCAGACACTCATGGCCGGAGTTTGCGACTGTTGTCGTGTTACCGATAGGCGGGTGTATCTTTGGATTGATCGCGAAATACCGAACTATTACTCTATATGCATTGCCCAGTTGGTGAGTTAGGGCTCTGCTAGGCTGGCCCCCTGAACAGCCACTAGAACGGGGCGAGGACTTTGGAATCTTTGGAATCAAATTCATGCCAAGGGTGCAAGGACACTACATATGTACCCACATACCAACCATTGCGAATACCAGCGAGAGCCCAAATATTCATTGCGAACGGCTGCAACTACGCTAGCACGTGCGGTTCCATGTACATCACTCTGAGGCCCTGAAGCAGGCTCCGGGCCACGACGGATAAAGTCGTACGAGTCTATAGTGAGATAACTCTATCGAGTTCAAGATAACCCATATCCAAGCCATCATCAACGATTAACGTGCTTTCCTATGACACTTCAGCCAGACATTGCTCCTGTTAACATTGTGACTATTCTCCATTGAGCCAAATAGAGGCCATTTCCTGGCAACTTGGATCGGCAATATCAAGTTGATCCACCAGATGCCAGCGTCTCCACGCCTCTCGGAGAAGATGCTCCATTTACACGAGGCAAGGTGGCATTAGGGTAGGGAGATGAGATGAACCGTTTATATAAATACTGAGGAGCTTGTGGAAAGCAATGTACTGTCAAAAATCCATGAAAGAGCATAATCCACATTCATCAATTTTCTGAGCCCGAGTTTCATGGGGAGGAGGACTGCCGTCGCCGGGCTGAATAACTGTCAAGACGCAAGATCTCTAACAAATGAAGATTGCGTAACGATTAGTAATTGAAACGGAAACTCGAAGCCTTCTATCGCATATGTGCCCGCCGTGGAGCATTAGGGAGTGTATGTTTCTTAAGATACGAGATAATAGATAGAAGAATAATAGTAGGGATAGAAGCCAAAGAGGATATACGGGAGTAGATTGGAGGAAAAGAACAAGACATGTTTTGCGGTTCAATCTTCCTCGATGCGGCAAAATGGAAATGATAATGGAAGATATATGCGGGGCAGGACTGGTGTAAAATTAGACTACCAGTGGACATGTCGAGGCTGGGGTTTTGAGCATTTGATCACCAAAATATGACCCCGAAGTTACAGTGTAAAAGTTGGTTGGAGCAGTGGTCGAATAAGGGGTAACTTAATTAGTTCTTACTTTTTAAATCTGTGCCAACAATGAAGCCGAGCTTGACAGCATATATGGCATCGCTCGTTTTCGTACTTGGCATGCTGTAAGAGGCTTCGCTCGAGGCTGATCTCCGGCAGCCCACGTTACAGGCTTTACTTGCACCAGCGAAACAGTCTTGTCGGTGAGTGATCACACTGAAATCAATGGATAGCATTTGCATTGCTTAAAGAATGTGGAGAGTTTTCAGCAAGGCCAGTTCAGCTTGACTGGTCGCACATCTGCAACTCGACGAAAGCATGACATGCTTGGCCTATGATTTTCCTACGCGTTCTACACCATCGTGTCATATATTCAGCGCCACATTCTTACAGTTGATAATGAGGAGGCACACATCTGCAGACGTATTTTCAAACATTGGTTTCCTGGGCTTCTGTCTGCAGACGGCTCACCGTCAGCAATATTGTCAGGGCCACAGATAGGGAACAGAGCCAAGAGGGCACACTTATAAGCAGGATACAGGGGATATTCGGTCAAGGCCCGAACTTTAGTGGTCAAATGTCACACGCAGCGTGGATTCGGTACTGGTGAGTTCGAGAGAGGTTGCTATAGTTTGACAATCAAGGAGATAGAGAGATAAACTCCCGAATGATCCGGGCGCCCAGACATTTACCTGCAGCTCCTGTTTAGGTTCCTTCCAAAGGCTCCCCCAACGTGGTGTATTTCTAGCTCTCATCTATGCCGAGAAATGTCCATAATACATCTCGTTTGGCTTTGGTGGCTTCAGTCCTATCAAGGATGCCTTGTCTTAGTGGAGATGCATACGGAAATTAGGAGGCGGCAACACGAACGCAGTATTGCCTTTAGGCAATACTGTTAGGCCATCCAAAATTAATGTCTCTTATGACGTCGAATGGATGTTAAACTATTATAATTTACAAATATTGTTAAAATTTTATTCATCATACATGAAGAATATGCGGAAGATAAGTATGCTCACATTTACGCTGTGTATCCGCCGGGTTTGATTGAAATGATCCCAACAGCGCTATCCCAGTGAAAGCAGGCGTCTACGAAAGAATAAATCATAATATCTAGATATCATAGTGTCAACAATTATCCGGGGAGAAGTGAAGTGACAAAGTGTTTGGAAACTAGTTTCTAGAATACTAAAGTCCAAGTGAGAAATATATAACACCGAAGAAAGCCCCTTTTCAAACACCTTTTCCACAATAGAGCACTTTGTGATCAATCTTTGCATCAAGCGATGTTACACTAGGGATAATAAACAAGTCTCTCAACTTATAGAACCAAGGCAGTGATAGCCCCCAACAGGACGATAACGCTGACACCAGCCTTGGAGCCCGAGCTGACGGGAGGGGGGCTGGTAGGAGCCGGATGGGTGCAATTACCGTTGCACGTCTGCGAGGGCGCAGTCCAGGTGTTTGTGTCTGAAGGCGAAGAGCCAGTGCCAGTGGAGAGAATAGGCACGATGGTCGCAGTAGGCTGACTGGTAGGCTGACTGGTAGACTGACCGGTAGACCGAACGCTGGACTGAACACTGGACCGAATGCTGGACTGAACGCTGGACTGGACGCTGGACTGGACGCTGGGATGAACGCTGGACTGAACACTGGACTGAACACTGGACCGAATGCTGGACTTAACGCTGGACTGGACGCTGGACTGGACGCTGGGCTGGACGCTGGACTGGACGCTGGACTGGACGCTGGGATGAACGCTGGGCTGCGCAGCGGAAATCTTTGTGGGAACTTCAGTCTCGGTGACAGGGCAGACTGTCGTGTATAGTGGGATGGTCTTTGTGGTAGTGTGAGGCCGAGCAGGGCAGTCGGTTACAGTGGAAGCACACTGCGTAATGGTGTGAATCTCGGTGGTGTAGACAACGGAAGTAGTCCAGCCAACAGTGCTCGTTGGAGCCACAGTAGTAGAGTTACCCCATGGGCTAGTACTCTTGATAGTAGACAGAGTAGAGGGGACGGATGTTCGAGTGTGAGTCATGGTTTTGGTGTGGTTGGTGTGGTGAGAGTGGGTAGACACAGTCTCAGTCTCTGAGCTTTCCTGGCTACTGGTCTTGGTAGGCTTGGAGGTAGACGAAGTAGCGTGGTGAGTAGGAGTGGCAGTCTCAGAGTCAGTAGAGTGGTGAGTGGGAGTGGGAGTCTCAGATTCAAAAGTGTGAGAAGGAGGAGGAGGGTTGACACAAGCAGGAAGGGCAGGGTCATTGGTAGGAGTCTTGAAAAGCTCAACCTCGGCGTTGCGGCGACGGGTGAGCCCAGGTAGAACCTTTCCACCGGCCTTGTTCCATTGAGGAAGTTCCTGGGCAGCGACGGTGTTGGGGTCCTCGCCCGCGTTGAGGCGTCTGATAAGCCTGGAAGACGCGACGTTGCCGCAGCCGACGTTGAATGCCCAGCTGACAAGAGCGCCATACTGATTCGCGTTGAGAGCAACCTTGGGGTTTACATCTTTGTAGATGCAGTTCTCGGCAACCTATCAACGAGAGTGAGCTTGGGTCGGCGCGAAATCGGGACCTGAATTGACGTACCGACATGTCATCGCTGAGAAGCTTCAAGCCATCAGCCTTGGACAGAGGAGGGAAGGGATACTTGACCTCTGCGCAGTTAGGCTTCTTGCAAAGATGACCATATCCGAGAGTCTCAAGGTGCTGAGGTCCAGGGTCCCGGTCTACAAGACGACATGTTAGAGTTATTCGACTTCATCATACATTTAGCCTTGATATTCGTAAATACTCACAGACGTGGTCGGACCAGCCTTCAAAGCCGGAGATGAACTTGACGGTATCTTCATTAGCTTTGGGAGCACTGCAAGCATGGACGCTGGCAGAAGCTCCAAGGAGCAAAAGAGTAGATCCCTTAACCATTTTGGCCGTGCTATTAAGAATCTTTAATTTAAAGAATGTCAGGACGAGATGGCGTAAGGAATGTTTGATGGTCAAATGAATGTCGTCGTCAATAAAACGAGTGTGTTTCACAATCAAGCCAAGAAAAAGTGAAGAGGCAAATTAAATAGGTATCTTGAGCCAAGGAGTAGATTGGGAGGCCGTGTACACCACCCATCTTCTTATACACCGGTTGAAAGAGCCGCATTTCTCCAGAAAATTTCCCTCCAGCTTGTCACCCTCTATCATAACGTGCCGAAGATTTTTTTTTTAGTTCCATTGCCCCAAGCAGCTTTCAGCATGGCAAATGAGTAACATGCGCTAACATGTCTGGCGGCGGACAAACCTTGCGCCTTCTTACATGAAGGCCGGGCCACTGGTGTCCGAATTAAAGCTATCAACAATTTCCCCCAGGGCGGACCCCGGTGAACTTTGTCCAGTTGTTAAAATCTGTCATTACATGCTCTCCAACTTGGCATTATGTTGTGCGCTTTCGTGGACTCAAGCCACGTTATGGTGCAAGGGTCTGTTTAATCCTTGTATCCTTTTGTACTTTATGGGAATAGCTCGCAGCTTCTATAGCCGATCTTGTGCAAAGATTTGATGTGGTCGTATGCTAGAAAGACGATCAGAATCTCTGGTTCCTGAACTTGCGGATGTTTCCTCACGGGGAAGAAGAAAATATGGGCGATGGTTTCCCAAATACAAGTCTATGCGTGTCATTGTCGCAGTTCGAGCCTCATTCTTCGCGGAGCCGACGATGTATAACCCGAAACTTCAATATTGTGCCACGAGTCAGCTTGGAAGTGAAAAAGAGGCATACCACACTTGAAATAGAGATGGGCTGCCAGAATCTAACCCGTTTCCATCTGCGCTTTTTGGTGTGCTGCGTGCGGTCAGCCACGGCGCGGCGGTCAGTCGAGCAGCAGTAATTTTGTAACTAGTCATTGCAGAAGACATTCATAGATGATTTCATTGTACTTCCCCTCATGTGTTCCAATTCTCTCAGCTGATGCCGATCCCTCCTGGGCTGCGCTAGGAGCTGGCGTTTGATGTGGTCTGGTCTTGACAGCCGTCGGACAAGGTTCGGCTCTCGAGATTCGTCCAGCCTTGCGAATTCCCCATCTAAAAGGAAACGGAAAAGATGTTGGCCATTCTATATGCTGTGGCCGCTTGGGATCTTCAGCTAAATCTGGGTGAAGAAAATATGTTGTGGAAGAGGTGGCGTGAGGGGTTAATTAAACCAACTCACATACTGGGAAATCTCGTTGCAGATCCGTCCTATTTCATTCAGCCATAAGGCGCCACGTTGACTATCTAGAGTTAGCCAAGGGAACTACGCTTGTTTGTCTGCGTTCAATGGCGTCTATGGGGTCCCGGGAGAACTACGTCTTGATAGAGCTCGACGTCAAGGTAGAGCGCGTACATCGCGATGCTATCCAAATGATCGTCCCTACATCGTATCTCGTACTGCATGTCACTGCCTAGTTGAGGGTCCGCTTCTCCAATACGCCTTTGTAATCGCGGCTGATTTTAATTTAGACGGCGCTGGCTTATGACACTTTCCAAACTAGCAGATATTTCGTCCCCTGGGCAAAGAAACGGACTTACAGCCATAGATGTTGTGGCAAGTTTCTGGACACAAAGTAACACATCCTCGGAACGGTGATCCACGCGAAAAGAATTTCTTGATAAAAGTTGTAAATAAACGCATTTCAAATTGCCATGGTCCTTCCTGCGGTGTTCCGGTCGTTATGTTACGCCGTACAAACTGATATTGCTCAACCACTTGTCAACCAGATATGGGCCAATTTCACGAAGAAATTGAGAGACCTAATTCCCTGCCGATGATCCAAGCAGCCTTCTCACCAACAATAAGCGCTGTATTGTTCGTGTTTGCGCCCACATTCTCCGGACAAATCGACAGATCTATAATTAGTCAGTCATCACGCCCCTGCTATGGAACGGTTTACTTACCAGCAAGTTTCAGTCCCTCCGTTCCATAAACATTCAAGTCCTTATCCACCACGCCTTTGTTTTCCCTCGGAGCCATCTTGCACGTCCCCAACGAATGCCACGTCGTATTCATGTGCCCTCGGATCCAGTCCTCGATTGCGGCATCATCCTCGGCGTCGTATTCAATCGGAGGCAACCTGCGTCTGTCCTCCAGAGAGGTAAACAATCCGGAAGCGGGCCTCTTGTCAGAAAGAGCGGCTTTGCTGCCCTCGCGGAACTGTGGGTGTCCAACTGCCATCTCGCCGTCGTAGCAGTTTGTGCGGCGGAAGATTTCGCGCTGCTTCTTGTAAGCCCACAGCAGCTTCTTCACATCCGCGGGATGAGACAAGAAACCCGTGTTGAATGAAGGAGGTGCCGCCGGGTCCTTGGAGGTGATGTGAATATTTCCACGGGAGTAGGGATAAGCCGTGTAGCAACACATATTGATGCATTGAATCGGACCGTCACCCGCTCCAGACGCAATCTCAGGGTCGAAGGAGTAGTTCAACGCCCCCATGAGCATCAGAGGCCTGTCGGTCTGCTTCTTGAAGTCTCGGTCCCAAAGTTGTTTGAAATCCGGTCCGAGCTCGGCAACTTCGTCTTCGGTAGGGCGAATCTTGGCAGCCACGTCGATGCCATTCCAGCCCAAGATGGGATTCTTTTCCTTGAGGGCACTTGCAAAGTCCAGTCGTCCGCTGACGAGGCCGTCAAGAGTTTGGTCGGGCGCAAGAGTGGTCCTGTAAGGATACCCGATCAAATGATGGTCTTGGTACTCCTCGCCCACTCCAGGCAAGTCCGACACGACCGGGATATCGAGTTTATTTAAAATTGCTGCGCTGCCGACGCCAGATCGCTCCAGGATTTGAGGCGTGCCAAGAGCACCGGCGGATACGACAACCAACTTCTTTGCCTTGACAATACAAGTTTTTCCTTCTTGGCCGGCAGCAGCGGTCGTGGCTCGGTATTCGACTCCCGTGGCACGCTTGCCGTTAAAAATTACACGGGTCACGGTACTCTCGACGAGAAGGTGGAGATTGGGACAGTTTCCCGACGCCATCAGCGGATGGACGTATCTGTGAGCCGTATCTTGGCGTGTACCCTGGGGAGAGATGTATCGTAGCCATCGGGAGAAGCCATTGGAGGCCTTGAAATTCTGCAAGTCGACAGCCTCTTGCTCACCTGTGGCCTTGGCAGCCTCAATGATATCATCCTGGGTGGTATTTGCTACATACGTGCCGGATGAGACGTGAATAGGTCCGTGGTAACCGTGGACCTCTCTGTTGACGTCGGGGCTATCGTAATGATAAGTCTCGAGCTTCTTGGCAAACGGCAACAAGCTTTTGGCGTCCCAGCCTTCGGTATTCCAAGAATCATAGTCGCATCCCTGTGCTGCTCAAGCATGTGAGTCTCGGTAAGATACAACAGTTTTGGGACTCCCTGACAAACCTCTAGTGTACATCATAAAGTTGATGGAAGAGCCCCCGCCGAGGACACCGCCGGCAGGGACAACGGCCTCCCGCCCATTCAAAGCCTCTTCCTTGTTAGACTTGTAGAATATGGCAGTCTTGGATGTTGGCTGCAGATGAGAGAGGTAAATGGCGGGTGTAACAATGGTCGGGTCGTTCAAGTTATTTGGGCCTTGTTCAACTATTAAGATTGATAAGCTGGGATCTGCTTCCGCAAGCCGGCCAGCAATAATGCATGCCGCTGTGCCGCCACCGGCAAGAATAACGTCGTACTCGTTCCTTTCCTGGACACTACCCATTATGAGTTGTTCGACAAGGTATAATCAAAAATCCCTTTTTCCAACAAAGTTTGTTGAAACTCATTCGCAAATTACAACAGGGCCAACGCAGAGCAGAAGACACTCGGGGTGCTAGAAAGATTACACGTCGGGATCCGGCCATTTTTATGATTTTCCTTCCACTATCCCGTTTGCCTCTTGCGGGGTAAGATCCGGCATGTCTCATAATAAGTTGCGGCTCAGACCTCCACGCTCAGAAAGAGGGGTTTGCCACGACCAAGAGCAGCTGAATGCCGCGGCTTCGGCGGCACCGACTTATTGTTGTCGAGCCAGTAATCGTGAGCTGTATTGGAGTTCCCTTTTACAGCTGCATTTGGGCACATTGGAGGTACGTTAGCTGCCACTAGTGTGAGTAACCCAGTCGATAGCCTGCACAGGGTTGCGATTTCCATGTGCGCTCCACAGCGACTCTGTTGATGGTTCAGGACCAGCCAGCGTATGAGGTTCTTGCAACGGTCGGTGTTTCCTACGCCATTCCAAAGTCAGGATTGTCGGGTAGGTGGAAAAACCGGCGTTTATGCAGTCGTACCAAAGGGGACTATGCCGGGCCACACAATGTCACCCACTAGTGTAAATTCATACGCCGTCCCGCGGTATACGTGCAGTCTCGACAAACTGCTCTTGTCTACAAGCTCATTAGTGTTCTCGAGAGAGACTGTTGCCAATACAGACTACTAGGTAAGTATATAGTAAAAAGGGGGGGGAAGGGGGTGACTTGGCGCAAATACTAAAGTAACCTCGGCTCTATGTAAATCGGCGTGTCCTCGGCGGAGAGCAAAAAATCCGGCTATCGTGCCCTATGCTATAAGACAGTTGACGTTATATATTGGCGATGAGGGGAATAGGGCTCGCCAAGACTTTTTGTCATCAGCTACCAGCTACTTGGGTGTGGTTTGTCAAGAGATGGATGTGACTTATTTATCGGATAGATTTCCCGCTGTTTGTCCAGAGTATTAATTTTTTTAGTAAACCAAGTCAATGGAGCGTTGATGCGAATGACTCATCACCGATCAAAGTACGTAGCAGCGCTCTTGACATATTATACTTGCATCATGTGCTTGGATGGCTGAATATGAGCAGTATCACAGAATAAAACTATTGAATAGTCCCTCATCGCAAAGGTACAGCCCTTCTTGCCGAGTCTGAAGCCATGGTGGGCCCACAGGCATCGCGATATCGAATTCGGCTGCGGCATGGGCTCCTGCTAGATCTTGCTGAAAGCTTGACGAAGACGAAGAGACCAACCCACTGTGAGAGTCAGCTAGGCTTCCCATAAAACGACATCACATGGAGTCTGGTGGTAGTACATGCAAGACCAGGGTCCAATGTCCGGAGGCCACCGAAGTTCGGTCAAGACCGGCTCATCTTCCCCGCTTTGCGGTGAAAATTTTAGCCTGACCCCGAAGCGCTATGTTGGCCATGCTGACAGGGGGATTTGTCAAAATGCAAGGGCTTATGGATACTAGACAGATGTATTCAATGTTCTTCTCTTCTTCTACTACAGCCACGTTTTGCATTGTGCCGACGCACCTCACACCTGTGCCCTCTTGAGCCCACCACTCGAAACCACCCGTCAAACAACCTACACCAAGCCGCCGGGGGCTTCACATGTCTGTTGACCTGAATAGAGCAGAGGACACCTGCGACAAAAACCGCCTCAGCCTCCAGAACCATGGCTTCAAGAGCACGACGAGTCCGCCTGCTGGAAGTTGCCACGACCAGCCAGGGGTGATGACAACTGACCAGAGCGAAAAGCAATCCACACGCCAACGAGACATCTCCATCTTGGCCCAACAGAGTGCCAACTTGACACCGGCAGAGCGCGAATCTCATGTCTCGTTCCCTGATGGCGGATTTCAGGCGTGGCTGGTTGTATTTGGCTCATTCTGCGCCCAAGGCGCCGTCTTCGGCCTCATCAACACGGCGGCCGTGTTTGAGTCGTACTTCAAGGCGCACCAGCTGAAAGACTATAGCAACTCCCAGATTGGTTGGATCTTCAGCCTGTACCTTTTTCTGGTCTTCTTTGTCGGGGTCCAGGCTGGGCCTGTATTTGATCGGCACGGGGCAAGGCTTCTGCTGGCGGGGGGGAGCTTGTGTGTTGTTGCGAGTCTAATGTTGCTAAGCATCTCAACAAGTATGTTCAACTTCCAGCCACGATGGTTCAAGGGACCCTATTGTCTAACAGCTTTTTTCTCGCAGCCTATCATCAGATCATGTTGACCTATTCTGTTCTCGGCGGCCTTGGAGGCGCTATGCTCAATGCCCCTGCGTATGGCGCCATTGCGCATTTCTTCGACGTTCGCCGTGGACTGGCAACGGGGCTCGCCACAACGGCGGGCGGCGTCGGCGGCATCATCTTTCCATTGTTGCTTCAATTTTTGCTCGGTGACGGAGGCGTAGGCTTTGGCTGGAGTTGCCGTATCTTGGGCTTCATTCTCCTCGGGCTCTGCGCTCTTGCAAACATCTTCATCCGCACCCGTCTTCCACCCCAGATTAATGGAACTGATGGCGAAGCCGGTAAGAAAAGGAACTCTGTGTGGCCAGATTTTACTATTTTCCAGGACAAGAGATATGCTCTCTCAGCGCTGGGCATCTTCTTCATGGAATTCGGGCTCTTTGTGCCGCTGACCTACATCGTCTCATACGCAATGGCACACGGATTCGACACTTCGGAAAGCTTCACGGTTCTGTCTCTCCTCAACGCAGGCTCCGTCTTTGGTAGGTTCCTGCCGGGGTTCTTGGCAGACAAGATTGGGCGATTCAACGTCATCATCTTGGCAATCTCTCTGTGTGTTGCCACCGTGCTGGGGCTGTGGCTGCCGTCTGGTTCCTCGAGAGCCACCGTCACTGCCTTCTGCGTCATGTTTGGCTTCGCAAGCGGGAGCAACCTTGGCCTCGCTCCTGTTTGTATTGGCCAATTTTGTGCTCCGCAAGAGTATGGGCGGTACTTGGGTACGGCGCAGATGCTCGCAAGCTTTGGCACCTTGACGAGTGTGCCCATCGGAGGTGCCTTGCTCGGCGGCGGCCAACAGAGCAGCGGCTGGTTGGGCCTCATTCTATTTTCTGGCTTGTCCTACGTCGTTGCCTTGGGCTGCTACGCATCTGCGCGCGTTCTCGCCACCGGATGGCACCCATGGGTAAAGTTTTGAAACCGCCTGAATTCACATGCAATACGCTTAAGTCGCCTTTCGGTAGGCATGAACCTCAAAGCATAGTATGCACATGGCAACGAATGCCATCCCTGGCTCGAAAACAATAAATCCACTGGCGCTGCTGTGGATCTATACATATCAAGCTATTCCTTTTCCTCTCCAAGTAACAATTCGTAGGTAAATTTGTTATACAAGTAGTTGATAAGATTATTTCAAGCGAGCTCGATAGGTGCACAATACCATCTGGGGAGTGAAACTTGCATTGGGATTTCTGCGCCGTGGTGACAGGTACTAAACGGATGCCTATCCGGCCCTGTGTGGTGTACAGCTGATGAACTATCGCTCAGATTTTTCCAACGGCCGACGCGGGGTACAAATTGCCAGAGAGTAACCTTGGGGGAGTTGAGTTCTGAGTGTTGCCCAAGTTTATTTTCACCGAACTTTCCTCAGGAATGTGTCTGGAGATTTCCTTTCTCCCAGCTACCTTGCACATCTGCAACCAAATTACTGCTGTATTTCGGCGCGTCGGTGTTCTCTCTAGCCAGTGAATGCTTCGAGCTCCGCTTTCAAGATCACCTTTGTATCATTTAATTCGCATGCTTCCCGTCCAAGGTCCTACAGTCTTAGTGATATCGGAAATCAGCCAACTGGCCAGTTTGCTCATTATCACGGGTTCCGATGCTGCGGTTGTTAAACCCTCACTCCTCGTTCCTCGAGTATGTCTTACGGCACGTAATGTAGAAAAAAAATCCGCTGATAAGTTACCAAGAATACAGACAGAATCCAGGAGGTGTTCTCTCCACTAAATCTGGCGGGAACTGCCGCCGCTTTTAGCGGTTTCAACAGCAAGAGACCAACACGTAGCTCAGTTATAGTGGCATCAAAGAGTCTCTCACAAGATTTGTAGGTTGCGGTCAGAAGTGGGGAGTCTGGGGGGAAAGACGACCGTCTTGGCTGACCGCACCAGCCGTCAGAGTCGTGAAAGTCTTGATTGTCATCAGATTCGACAAGCCCATCCGTGGAGCAGGCCGGGGGTCCTTGAAAAGGTTCAGGGAGTCAGAAGGACAGCTTGGGAGGCAGTGCGCCACAATGGTGGCAGAGCGGGGGTGGTGCGGACGGATGGAGAGTTGAGTTTTAATAGACTCTATCGTAATTGATTAAGGCGTGGACGCCCAATTTCTTTATATTAATATATAGAGACAAAGAGAAACGGAACAACCCCAAAGAGAGCCTTGAACCCCCGTCCATAAGTTGCCAGGGGCAAACTTATACGAAAACAAACCAACTCACGCCAACCCAACACAGCCAGCTTCACAGGATCAAGCGCATGATATCCAAAGCATTGATGACGGGCGAGAGTTGAGAAGCGGAACCAAAATAGACTGAAGCGCACTTGGAGCACAATGACATCAACCCTCCAGCCATCTCCCCGTACATAAAGATGAGACTATCATGGCGTCGTATTGCTCCAGTCTATGATGACGGTCGGTCGTCTAAAACATGTGACTGCAGTGATTGTTGAGGAAGTTGAAGTTGACAAAGCCGTTCTGTTACAGCGGCAATAGTTAGTAGAATATAAAGTCGAAGCTGAAATGGCTGAGTATCTCTCACCTGCTCAACCTTGTCTCCAGCGCAGCAGTAGGTGCTACCAGAGCAATTTTCTCCAAAAACGTTGAAGTTGCAAAAGAAGCCGCCCATAAAGCCTCCCGAGTCGCTGCAGCAAACCTTCTTCTGGTCATTGCTGCATACGTTTACGTTGCCATTATTGTCGCCAGGGGTTTCGCCGGGGGCAGGGCTGGGGGCTGGGCCGGGAGCTGGGCCGCAACCGTCACACTCTTTGCAAGGCAGAGCGAAGGCAGAAGAAGCGAAAAGAGCGAGAAATGCAATAGTGTACTTCATGATGGCGATTGTGACAAGAAGAAACTGAAGTTGTTTGATGGCTGGAGTGTTGATAGAGTACAGAAGCGAATGTTGAGAGAGGGTACTGTTTGAGAGACGAGTGGTGGGAACACGGGCAGAATGGCTCTATTTAACTTGCATCTGCTGGCGGCTGTGAAGCTTTTTCAAGATAGTCTAGGGTCATGTACAAATCTCTAGTGCCCCTAACCGGCAGCCAGTAGACTTGGACTCTTGTGGTCAAAGCAAATTACAGGACAGTTACAGCCGAAGTCTTAACCAAGACCTTAGCAGAGGCAACCTAAGAGCACAGACAGATTGTACCTCCTGAAACTTGATTTTCCTAATAGATATTTCTTCTAGTAGTAATCATTGATGTGATTTACACCGTTTACGTTGCATGAGTAAATCGTAGAACCCGCGAGATGCCCGGCGGCGTTGTTCAAGCAAACAGGCTTTACTAGTAGCTTTAACCCGCTGTTCTTATGACAACATCCAAGGCTTTTCGTAATTAAAATGTTCTGTGCTATTCCCAGACACATGGCATATTTAGATAGCTATCAACTAACACTGGAAAGCTTGATAAGTTGATTAGAAACCGTTACTACACAAACCCAAAGAAGAAGTCAACGGTGATGGTAACGAGTAAAAAAGGAGAGAGTAGTGGAAAAGGCCAATTGCAGATCAACACCAGTGGTCCAAGTTCTGTCATGCAGCTACGCTGCCAGAAACTAGCTTGAGCGTTTACAGCAACTCCTCCTTTTCTAAGCAGTCGCCACCAGGACCTCCAAGGTAGTAAACATGACATCTAACAGATCGCTCAAATTGCCCCAAGCGGTACTAAAAATTAAAGCCAGAGTTACTGCCAGCGTGTGTGAGGGAGAGACATTTTAACCCGCTTTAAGCACTAGGCTTTTTTAGCGGAGACAAGAGAAAGCAGCATGTGAATGAGTCGTGTGTGTTTGTCAGTGGATCATATCACATGTGTCCATCTTCTCGATTACCCAACTAGTCGTTTCTGTGTGAACTTGGTGCGGGTGGCAATGGTTGATGTCGATGCCTTGACCCTGTTGAAATGTCTCGGACAAGAAGCGTCCGGATGGGCCATGAGCGGGCGAATTGCTCCGCTCCGTGACAACCAACCCAGCGCGAATTGCTCGGGGCACGGCCGATCTCTTCTTCATGTCAGGACACGGTTATTCAAGGCTGACATATTTCCCCGCTTACGGCTCAAGTGCCGCCGCCAGCCCTACAAGTACCAGACCAGACATTTTTGATGGATTTAGAATTAAAAATATATCGTGGGGTTTGGCACCCGGCCGCTAGCCTTAAAATAGGGTATAGAGTAACGTCAACGGTGATGTGCACCTGGGGCCGAGCAATCCGCGCTGGGTTGGGTGTCACGGAGCGGAGCCATGTCCATGTCCCATTTTATCTGTGCAATTTTCAGGTACGAACCAGTTGACATGTCTGGTTGTTGCAGAATTATTAGATTTAGGGGCCGTGTCTTGCACGTGCAACTACTAGAAGGGAAGATCTTTGCTGAAGTCAAGGTAGTATTATGACAAATTAATGTTAGTACGTATAAGGTAATACAATGTTTTAAAGCACGTGCATTTTTTATTTATTTTTATATTTTGGGTTTAACGTGGGGTGGCGCCTTGCCCGATCGGGGCATGCTGCCTAACCCTAACCTGGCCGGGGAAACAGCGTCTACGACGGTAGATTTTCAGAATCATGTCCAGAAATCCGCAAGATGCGTTTTACGGACTCGGAACCGGCCATGTTGAGTGTCGGAGAATTTTCGACTAGGCTGACTGCTGTGGTGCTCTTCTCCACTATGATCGCCGTTGATGCTTGGACGCCCAAGGTCACATCGTGCTAGGGGGCCGATTACACAAATAGAAGACTAAGATGGAAGAAGTGCTACTATTCCCTGTGTGCTGGCCTTTTCTCCTGGCCGCTATGTGCGGCACTCTTCGATTGTAATCTCACAATTAGTTGATGGACGGGCGAGGTGAAGGATCACCATGGACCGATCCGCACATACAACTCAGGGGGGCCGGCGCTCCAGTCTTTCACCCATAAGTCGCCCACACAGGGCAGGCGAGAAGGATGCAACGTATTGACCGGACCGGACCATACCAGACAGTCAACGAAATGCTCCTAGGGGTAAGTGATGTGAGGAATAGCACGTCAACTGGATGCAGTTCAACCTCTTTCAATTCAATGCCATCAATTCAATTTGGAGATGCGCTGTCTCAACTCCAAGGATCAAATTCTAACCAAGCTTTCATCGAAGTCAACGTTAACGTGATATTGATGGTTTTGAATTGATAGCTACCCTCATCCCGACCAGGACTATTGCAGCAGCACTACCAGCCTTCCCTGATGAGCACCCCTCCTCCCCATTCATGGCCGGCAAACCCTCCTGAGATTCCATAACAGAGAGGATGCTTTGTGGCTATTCTTCAGACTTAGATCTCTTGAGTAATCCCACCCAGGGAACCTAGCCTATGCCTACACTTGTGGCCTGCCTCCCCAATATTAACTGACCCAGGGACAATGTACTCCGTGTGCAGCCCAGACTTCTCTCTCCAACGCTTTTTGTCTGTTGGCCCCAAGACAACTCTGAGCCTGGAAAAACATTTTGCACAGTAAACAACTTTTGCATAATATCGTACCTCCGAACAAAAAGTCCCAGAGACGATGGTCCTATCGATGCCGTCGAGACACGTAGCCACTTTTTCCAAGCTGGAGAACGAGGCTCTCCGTTCCAAAGCCAGAGACAATTGGGTACGGCCACTTTTGGTTAAACTTGTCGGCATAAAACCACGAGACAATAGCGTTTTACCGATTTCAACCGAATCAGACGCATCGCGAGAAGCCGCCCAATGCAGTGGGGTCGAAAGCCCCCAAGACTACAAAAAACGAGAGTGTTTGCGCCCTGCTAGTTGGTTCTCGGAGCTGTGAGGTTCAGGCTGCGAAAAGAGATAGCGGAACGTCTCAGAATTGGCTCTACTCCTTCTGTGCCTCAGAATATCATCGACGCTTCGCGATAAACCCGACCTCAAATCAATGTACAGTGCAATGTCACATTTGACCCTGCTTTCAACGCTACCCAGATCAAAATGGGTCCGATTGTCAATGTGCCGACCTCCTCACTATAAGTCCCCCTGCACTCTCATTTGACTGGCTTGTTGTGAGAACCCTGATGTTTGACGGCCCGCTCTCTAGTACGCGGCAAAGTGCTTTTGACTCTAGTAGTCACATTCATTAAGGCCGTCAATGATGAGGACAGGACAGCATGTCCAAGCCGGAACAAGTGATAATGTCGCAAAAGTATTCCCAGAGGGTTTCAGGTTGTAAGAACCAACAGTCGCCATCCCTGGCAGCATGAATGCTTCCCAAGTTGATACCATACTTTCGGGCAAGTCACTCGAATCTGTTGAGCGCGAGCCAAAATTTTGTTAATAGCTGGTAAATGGCGACGCACAGGACCTTGCCGGCAGTATCGTCATGCTGTCGAGTTCCTCCTCCCTTAATAGTAGCTTTCTTGCGCCCTACCGCACCCTCTATCGGATCAATCCCGCGGGTGGCGTCCGTTAGTGTCTTGAGGCTTTTCCTGTCATACGGCGCCCACGCAGCCTTTTCTACTATGCTATTAGCCTTTTGTCTCTGACGGCCGACGTGCGTGGAATGATTGTGCAATTGTTGGAAAACGAGGTTTACCCACTTCTGACGTATGAGTAGGGTCAACGGTGTAAACGGGCACCCGATGAAATTTGCAGGTGTCCGCGGATACCCGTGAAAGCAACTCGCAAGGATCTATTAGTTTAAATAAGTACTAGCATATGCAAGAAGATATGCTTGTTTAAAATCTGCAAGAATTACATATTAGATGAAAGACTCAAGTCTTTTATAAGTACTTATTTATATTGACTAAGTATTTGTATGGTTTTCTCCAGTACTTAAATTTCAATGTTACCCTATACATTACCATCGCCCATAATAAACGCACGTGCGATAATACTTGACTTCACACGTGTAGGTACCCACCGGTCCACAACCTGTCAATGCGCAATATCTAATATCCGTGGTGTCTGGTGGCCTGACGAGTTACCCAATACAGCAGCACATAGTTCAATTGACGCTGTGTGACGCATTCATTCTTCCTTGTTCATCGTTCAGTCTCTCATTTCCAAGTCATCTATCCCCAGTACCGCTGATAGGATGGTCTCCTACGAGCTTTACGACGATGGCGCCTGGGACCGTGGCGAGGCTATATTCCAGGCTTTGCGGGATACGCTGTACAATGAAGATCTTTATCACGAGATTGCCACCTTCGTCACCAAACATCGAAAAGGTGGTAGCCCAGTCAAGTGTTTTCCTCCCAAAATTGGAGGGTTCAATTTCCATTATCGCATCCAGTATTCCGATGGCCGCTCCGCTATTATTCGCTTCCCCATGCCTGGCTACTTTCGCATGGCTGAGGAGAAGCTCCTTGGTGAGGTGGCTGCCATGCGCTACATTGCCGATAATACGACCATACCTGTGCCCTCCGTCCTCCACTACGGCATGACAGACGAGAGCCCTAGAAGGCTTGGTCCTTTCCTAATCATGGAGTACATTGAAAATTCCGGCGACGTGGCTGGTGTGCTAAGGGCACCCGGACACACTCATGGAGAGAAGCCAGCCCTCGATCCAGTCATAGACGATGCGAAAATCGACTATGTGTACAGCCAAATTGCTGACATCATGCTCCAACTGGCCAAGTGCGACTTCTCCCGCATCGGATGCCTTGGAATGAGGAGCTGCAATGGCCATGATGGCAACCCAGAGGTCACCTATCGGCCTTTGTCCCTCAACATGACCCAGCTTGTCGAGGTAGGAGGCGTCCCTCATTTCGAACTGCCTCCTACCTTCAAGACGTTTTGCACCTCGTCCCAATACTATTCCGCTCTAGCCGATATGCATCTACAGCAACTCTCGTTCCAGCGCAACCAGGTCGTCCAGTCAGACGATGAGTGCCGCAAGAAATACATCGCCAGGTAAGCGTTTCAGCCCAGTTCCTATCAAGCAATCGCTAATGTCTCGTGAAGGCAACTCTTCCGCAAAGTGGGCGCCGAACATGGCGTTGCCTCGCCGGACACAGACCTGGGCCCTTTTAAGCTGTGGTGCGACGACTTTCGCCCGGGCAACATTCTCATTGACGACGAGTATCGCATCGTCGGTGTAATAGACTGGGAGTTTACCTATGCTGCCCCCGTTGAATTCGCCTACTCCCCGCCATGGTGGCTTCTCCTCGTCATGCCTGAGGAGTGGACCGAGGGACTGGACGACTGGGCTGCCAAGTACGAACCCCGGCTGAACAGATTCCTGCGAGCCATGCAATTAAAGGAGCGTGAGTTGATAGAGCAGGGCCGCCTCGATCAGTCGCAGGTACTGTCTACGCATATGCGCCGCAGTTGGGAGACGGGGGATTTCTGGCTTGTGTACGCGGCGCGCAAGTCCTGGGCATTTGATGGAATCTTTTGGAGGACACTGGATAAGCGCTTCTTCGGGGACAATCCTGCTGGCTTCATGGAAAGGCTCAAGCTGCTACCGCCACAACAGGTCGCCGCCATGGAAGCTTTCGTGGAGAGGAAAATGCAGGAGAAGGAAGAAAGTACATTAATCGACTGGTATGCCAAGGACTCCGTGTCCAAGTTGCCGCCGAATATTCTGTCTTTAGACTCAGTAGAACCATGCGAAGCACGCCCTAGTTGTGCAACAATGACGGACGGACCTGACGTACGAGTCGTACCATGACACTCAAATAGGCCTCAATCTGTTTCGACTGTCGACTCGACCGCATATATTTTCTGCTCGGATTCCTGCTGAAGATGTTTGTTCTTATCTGAACGTAGAAGGGCGAATGGAGGTTGCTTCGTGAGTTAGAGGTGTCACAGATGTTACGCCAACCTATCTGATATCAGGCAACTTCCTACTCGCGTATGGCTCGCATCACGCGTTGGGCTGACTAGTCGCAGTAACGGGTGCGGCCGAGATCCTTTCCATCTCGCGCAAGTGAAAACCGCCTGGCGCTCAGGGTTGTTTCCAAACCTGCGAGAATTGCGAATTCTGTGGCTGAGTTATTCAACAACATCCAGCCTTGAGGGTATGTGCATCGCAAACAACGAATCGCAGCCCAAAAGCTTCGCAACAATCGACATTCGGTTCTGTCAACAAGTATTGCTGAATCAGTGATTCAGATCACAAACTCGCCCAGGAAGTCAAGGCACACTCCCCTCAAAATACCAGGTACATAAACCGGAGTTAGTCACCCTCATAAGCCCCGAGGCAGTAAAACCGCAATTACTTCAGCTCGGTGGCTGGTTACAAAAGTGTACTTACAAAAGAACTCACGCGCTTTTGTCGAACCCGTTTGATCTAACCATTCCCCTGCAACGAGTCCGCAGCCGAAGGAGGCCTTGTACGGTTTTGCGTGTGTCCCATTGGCTGGTTGGTTGGTTTGTTGGTCACGACAAAAGTAAAGCGTGTTGCCAAAAAAAGAGTTCGGGGAAGCCCAGTGTGCAAGCCTAGATACTCTCAAATTAAGGGGTCCTATCGTCAATTCAATTGCTTTCAACTAGACTCTTCGCGTGAGGTCCGGCTCTCATCTGCCTAGATGCTCGCGAAAATTGGTCGCGGAGGAGCTGAGGCGCCTCCTACTCCGAACAGCCTGTGTCCTCATAAAAGACCCCTAGTTGCGATTTTTTGTAACTATAACCTTGTGAGCATGCATGAGACAACAGGAGGAGATAACATAGCTTGAGTGAGGCTGAGTTGTCGCACGTCATGTAGCCAGGAACGGGACCGGGTCACACTTCTGTATCCCCGGCGGCTAAAACACACATATAAAGCGAGAAGTCTATTTTATTCCCGACGGCGTGGAATATGCCGACACAATCAAGTCGGCAACACTGGTCTGTCTCGACTTGAAAGGACGTCGTCGTTCCGTGAACAAGTTTCCGCAATGGTTACCCCTGTGATGCAAAGTCGCCCAAGCACAGCCATCCTGGATGAATACCCTACTCCGCCAGAAGACAGAGACCAAGACTTTCCCGGGGAACGAAAGCCCAACCCCAGCCTGTCGTCCCAAGATACCTCATGTCTCCGGAGGCAAGGACCCGTTCGGACCGAGGCCGGCATCCGCAAAGCCAACCGTCTCACGAAGCAGAACACCTTCGTCCTCGAAGAGAGGCAGTAAGAGCCAGCCGGAATGAAAGCCATGAAAGCCGTGACGAGGTCTCCAACGCTGATCCAAGAACTAGAGAACTGTCTCTTGCGACAGCGTCAGTACCATGCACACTGTCGGTTCGAAAGCGACCAAAGCACACACCGCCGCGCCAACGATCAGTTCCATCATTTCCCATATTGTCCAGTCCAAAGACACCTGAGGAGATTGCGCAAGACACTTCCCTGTACATCAACACACAGCTAGAAAAGTGAATTCTCACGCCCCTCAGGAAGACCGTCACGAAGAACAACTACATCTTGGAAGCTGAGATTGACGGCAAATCGCTGATCAAAATCGGCCTCACCAAGAAAGCAGCCTACGACCGCCTCAACGATATCCAAAGCACCTGCAAGCCCACACATATCAGCGTCAAGGAGCCCGGGCTCCGAGAAGTCGCCCACGTCAAAACCGCCGAACGGCCGATCCAGAAAGAACTGAAGCACTTCCAGCACTAGGTCACCTGCAAGGGATGTCTGGTTGAGCATGGCGAGTACTTTGCAATTGACCTCGGGTTTGCGAAACAAGTCACGGAGCAATGGACCAGCTTTTGCGCAAGTCAGCCGTGGAACGAGCAGGGAGAGCTGCATCCATTTTGGAAACGGCGCCTGGAGCACACAATGAGCGCGAGCAGGTTCCTCACCGACCACGACCACAAGTCTCGCGCCGAGCTGTGGCAGGCGTCCGTAAGCCTTCCGCGAAGGACAGGGTCGTGTTCAACCTGACGAGCGTAGTCGGCGCGGTCCAGCCGCGGTTCTGGCAGTGGCTGTCGCTGGCTCAGGCCAGGCGTCTTACACGTTCTGCAATCTTCCTGGGCGCGGGACGCTGGTGATGCTCCTGTCTTTTATGGCGTTCATGTTGGTCGAGAGGGACTTTTGGTCGAACCTGGCCCCGTGGAGCTGTGCGTCCGAGAGGTTTGTTCCGGCTGCGAAATCTGCTCCCACAGTGCCGCCGTCTCCCGCTTCTGGCTACTTCACTGTAAGCTATACCAGACATATCACCGTCGCGAGCAAGCCGAGGAAATTAAACCGAGCACAGAGGTCAAGACCATCGAACCATCAGACGACGAGCATGACACCTCGGACGACGAGCCCAACAGCTCCAACACGCCAACTCGTCCGCCCAACAGGAAGTAGCAACTCGTGCATCTACAAACATTGCCCATTTGCGGCACTTTGATCCAAAAAGAACACTGCGCGTCCAAGGCGCAATGCGCACCGCAAACACTCGGCTCAGTTCGCCGGTGAGTAAACACGTCCAAGACATGCATACAAAGCATTGCAACCCCATGTGCACCCACCGTCCCACCAACAGGCAGTTCAAGACCCAAGCGAGCCAAGGGTCACAACTAAGACCGGCAGACAAACAAAGAAAACAACGACACCAACCAGTCGAATTCCCAGCCATCTCCGATCGCCTTGCCGTCCAAGCACATTGCAATTTCCCGATCTGACCTGACACATCAGCGGGGTCCGAATTCGAGACCCGAGCGTATGCGTCCATCGTCCATCGTCCATCAGTGCCCTCATCCATATAAGTAGCACGCCTCGCCATAGACAATATGTTCACCACTCGCTCACACTCATCAAATCACTCACCAAACCGCCCACCAGCCAACTCAACAATTCAAACATGAAGTTCCTCGCCCTCCCTCCACTCGCCCTCCTCGGCCTCGCATCCGCGCAGCAAATATCCATCGAGTCCCCGCGGCCAGGCACCACCCTCCACCGCAACCGCCCAACCGACATGGTGGTGCAGACACAGGTCCGTCCCCCTCCCCCTCGTCAAACAAGAAACTACACGGAGCCATGTTGACGAGACACAGAACAACGGCACGGTGCAGGAAGTCTCGGTGGTGCTCAGCATCCTCCCCTGCCCGGACGGCACGTGCCCCAACGCCGGCGAGGACCTGGGCACCATCTTGTCGGCCGGCCCGTTCCAGCCGACCGGCCAGCCGCCGGAGCAAAAGTTCAGCATCAACATCCCCGAGTCGTTTCCCGTGGGCTACGCCGAGCTGCTGGCTACGCACTTTGTGCTGACGGGGGTGAGTTATCCCGACCTGGTTGGTGGTGGCACGTGAAGAAGAGCCGGGGACTGACGAGCAGACGCAGGACAAGCATGCGCCGTTTCTGCAGATTGCGGGCGAAATTGTCCTAGTGCTATGAGACTGGATGTGGCTCGAGTTGGGCACTCGAGTATGCCGATTGCTGCTGGCGACCGGGCAGTTTTCTTGGCTTCGCATCTCATGCCGTCATCTTCTAGGTCGTCCGTCTCGCGTACCAATCGCTATGGACGTTGTTTTTGACTTCATGTACAAATTCAAAGAGCTGGTTTGAGACTCCCGTTGATTGGTAGTTGGGCAGATATGCATCACAATACCGCGAGTCATCATCATGGGTGAAACTTGGATTAAAACAGCTCAATTGAATACCTGATGAAAAACTACCCAGTAACTTATATAATCAAAACGTACTATACATATACCCACCTGAAACAGCATGCCCATAACCAGTGGACTTTATGCCGTGTTTCCATTCTTTTCCAAGTGTGAGGCGTCAGGTACGTCAACTCCATCGGCCACAGTCGTGGGCGCATCTCCGACGACACCACCTTGCTTGGCCACACTCTGTCGATGCACCCATGTGTCATTTGGTCTCCACTTTGTTGACTTCCTCGCAGACTTGACCTCCGTGTAGAGCAGGTCGATCTCCTCCAGGGTGAGGCCCTTGGTTTCGTAGATGAAGAAGTAGACGAAAGCAATGCACACGAAGCAGCAGCCAAACCAAATGAAGAAAATTTTGGACTGCAAATTGGCATAGCCGGGGCCATAGTTGACAAGATACGGAGTCGAATAGGCAATGGCCCAGTTGAAGAGCCAGTTTGTGGCAGTAGTGAGGCTGAGAGACTTGGCACGAAGCTTAAGCGGAAAGATCTCGCCAGTTACCACCCAAGCCAGTGGTCCCCATGTCGAGGCAAAGAAGAAGATGTAAATGCAGGAGAAGGCGACGGCAGCCTTTTGGCCCGCCAGATTTGTGACATAAATATCGCCATTGGGGTATTGGCCGGAAGAAAACGTCCCAGCCATTGCGACAATGAACTGTGATATACACATGCCAATGGCGCCGAAGAAGAGCAACGGACGCCGTCCCCATTTGTCAATGGCGTACATTCCAGGTATTGTGGAAACCACGTTGATGGAGGACGTGATCATTTGAATGACAAATCCAGAAGAAACTCCAGAATTTTGGAAATATTTGGTGCCGTAGTAGAAGATGAAGTTGATGCCCGTAAGCTGCTGAAGCGCCTGCAGGGCCATACCTGTGAATTGTTTCTTGATATTGAAACGACGGAAACAGTCCAGGTACGTGGCCGCTCCGAGGCTCATTTCATATTCGTGGTGGGCTTTGACTTCGTCCAGCTCCGAGCGCACAGCAGGGTGGTCCGGTGGAAGTCGTCGGAGCGTTGCCAGGGCTTGGGCGGCCTTTTCGTCCTTTCCGGATCGAACCAAGTATCGAGGTGACTCGGGAAGAAGAAGCATCCCCCCAAAAAGAACAAGAGACCAGGCAAATTGAACGGCAATTGGAATTCGATAGCTGCCTGAGTCGTTTCTGTTGGATGTGGCATTATTCACGATGGCGGCGAGGAGCAAACCAATGGTGATTGCGAACTGGTAGGCGCCAACAATGGCACCCCGAATCCACTTGGGTGCAGTTTCGGACTGGTACAGAGGGATTAGGGCAGATATCAAGCCGACTCCGAGGCCAGCGAAAAACCGGCCAGCCAGGAACAGCGGAATGGCAGTGGCGGCGGTCTGTAAGACGACTCCAAGATTGAAGACCCAGGTGGAGATTATGAGAGCCATACGACGTCCAATGTAGTCACCCAAGAAGGGCGAGGCCAGGGCACCGAAGAAGGTGCCGGCAGAAAGAATAGAGACAATGGCGGACTCCTGGTCGGTCGTGACGTCAAGATGCCCCTTGGGGTTGATGTATCCAGTGCTGAATTCGTTTTGCCAGTATGGCATGGCCAGGATTCCGGATATTGTTCCAGTATCATAGCCAAACAGAACGCCGCCAAAGGCGACGAAAAAGCCGATGGCGATGCCGGGCCATGACTTGCCTGCCTCGCCGGGAGGCTTAGAGAGGGAAGCTTTTCGCAGAACACCCATAATTGCTCTCCCTCTGATACTGAGGTAAGTCAATCTGTCAGTAAGGAAGATGCTCAAGTATTGGTAACACGGAAGGGGGACATTGGCTAGGAGGGTATGTGGGAGGTGAAGCAGACTTATAAGTTTTGAAGCTACATTATCTAAGGCCCGGCTCGACAAGAGCAAGACGACGCCGGCTTGGTGGACCTGGGCAGAAAGCGTAAATTACCATCAATGTGAAAACAGGAAATGCTAACTTTCGCCCAAGAGCGCGTAAGTGGTGGCAATGGGCGCTTCCAAGCTCTTGGAGGCGGCGGAAGATGAGTGTGGATACGTGGTTCGTCAAAGTGGTGTGCGGGTAGTCTGCAAGGAGATAGTGGCTGCACTTACACCCTCTCTGGTTTTCCCATGGTGAAAAGTAAACAGAGCTACACGGGACTGCAGGCTAGGACCGAGTCTGTTATGCGGCGTCGATGGGTCGGATAGTTGCTGCAGTCGGCAGATGCTAGTCGAGACAATGTGTGGCGGTCAATGCAAGCATTGGCGTCCAAGAAGGCCCGAAGAATGGGTCTCGAGCGTTGTACCGAGTAGAATTAAAGATGATAGTCTAGGGAACGCAAATGAGAGCATTGGGAAAGACTTGAGTTTTGGTGGCGCAAAAAGGTTTGTATTAGGATGAGGTCATGTCGTTGCCAAGTCGGAGGAGAGACGAAGAGCGCCAAAGTCAATTCCAAACACAGGCACCCGGAGCGAGAAGTGCGAAGCCAGGCACTTGCGCAAAACATGTTGAAAGTGCAAGTGGCCCAGGTCTACATATGTTAATATGTGCATTGCGGAGTGCGTCACTGCATTCAATGATCCGGCGTCTGGGACGGCAGGGGCCATCAAGGACGAATCCGGTCGATTCGCGCACCACTACTAGGACTGTCTGTCAGTACTCCGTAAAAGAAGACGAAGTGGAAAGTGGAATGCGAAATGTTACCAAGGACCAGATTCCCTTGATGCTTGTTGGCAATCCGGGGTAGACCAAGGAAAGGCGGGGGGCTGTCAGGTCGGCGCCATCATCTCCATACTCCGCAGAGTCCCCGCCGATGCAGGTAGGTGCACGGCCTGCCGAAGCGCAGATGAGGGTGATGAGGATGATTGCATCTGCGCATGGTCATATTCGCATTCTTGCTTCGTAAAGCTTGGCCGCTAGGGCATTAAGCCTCCATGTCGTGATACTTCAACACTCGAGCAGTTTCGGTTCAATTGCTGCATAACCATCTCGGCAGGAACGTTGACGTGAGAACCAGCTGGCGCGTCCCAGCCGACTGCTCTGGTCCAGGAAGGGCAAGGGCCCAGCTGGCTCCTTCCGCATGAGATCCACATGCATCGTCGTCGGAAAACCCCAAACTCCTGCTGTCTGCCGTCGTGTCTGCATCTTAAGAATTGGAATGCGCCCGCACCGCAGCACCCTTTGGCACAGCAACCGCCCCGAGGCTGTTGCTCCCCCCCCCTTGGTGATACAATTCCCAACCTCTCGAACAGAATCTCACGCTGCGACGTCGTCATCGACTTGCTCCTCCCCAGATCTGCACGCGCCCGAGGCGTTTGTTCGGCTTCACTTGACAAGATCGCCACCGATGCACTCGAACCATCCAACGCCACGAGCACCAGTATCCAATTGCCAGTTACCGAACCCACGCTGACCGACGCCGCGGGCTTCCCTAGCGCCGCCGCAGCATGGCTGGCATCGACAATCACGGCATGGCCGTCTCGACTGCAGCGCCAAAACACGTTTTGGAAGCATAACCTGTCTTGTATTGGATAGCTCCAGTCTTCCATTGGACCTGGTCGCCGCCTCAGACCAAGGAGGCTTGAATGTCGCGCAGTTCCCCAACAAGTGCCACCCTTGCTACCACTCAACACTGCCGGCACACGGCCGACACGCGCCGCTGCAAGTGCCGGTCTACTTCGCTGTACGCGATCTGGACCTCATGTCCAATAGTTATCTCGGAGCAACTTGAGAATCCAGCGTGTTTATTGGACCGTAACTCGCGCTCCGGTCACGTAGTGCCGTCGCCGGCCTCTGGGCCACAGATGCAAAGCCCCCTAGTTTGTGGTTTGTGTTAGTTTCTGCGGGTGAAATTTTACCATCTTGGTCGCAATTCTGACGTCGTCGTCCGAGATCGAGTGGACGAGCTGCCATTATTGGCTGATTTTGCAACGCCTGGTTCTTGCAGTCATTACCCTATACACAACCATCAACCCTTTGCCAACGTCAGAGGCGTCACTGAGACAGCAATCAGTCGTCGGGATGGCTATCGAAGCCACCTGGAGCAACATCTCACATCTATCCGTGATTTGGCCGAAGCCCTTCAGCCGCTTTTGTTGCCAAAACAGCCAAAAATCTGACTCCAGGGTTGGCGGCGCCAGTAGCTGTCGGACCGACAAGGTCCCGCCCAACGCCTCTCCAACTCAGCAATGGGCTTATCAGACAAAACCCCAGGACGCCAGCAGAAACAATCATAGCTACGGGTACAGGCCTATCATTATTACAAGTCCTCGAAACAGCAAGCGGGATGCTCTTGGGCGATATCGCGGGGTTCCATGACCGGCTCTGGCACACCCATAAGTCTGCGATGCGCACCAGTGGTTTGTTGAGAGCTTGTGGCTGTGATTATGGCAGAAACTAAGCCCACCTTGTGAACGGGGTACTCCGTAGCGGATCGTCATCCACACGGCAATTGTCTACCCTTCGCTGGCTGTCTAAAGGCAAATATCATGAAGAAGTGATACCTGCCAATCCGGCCACACCGCAGCAAGCTACCAGTCCAGCAGGACTATAAGCCGGCAAGTCGGAGGCTAATTTTAATCCCAAACCTCTACGTATTATGCCCAAGATGAACAGGGTCGTTAATAGTACATGCATATGCAGGCCGATAGTCCCTTTAGCTGTGTTATGCATTGTCGGTGGTGAACATGGCCCAGACTAGGCTGGATAAGCACGGCTTCGACGATGACGGCTTTTATAATGGCATGTGCGTTGCTGTGAAGCTATTACATTATCCAATACCATTAAGCGGGCTCTCGACGCCCAGTTCAAAAGTGGCAGGGACGTACTCGGTTTAGGATATTGCCCATGAGAATACCAACCCTAAACCGAGCGATCATGAGTTGCCATCCCGCACGCGTCTACACGCTATGCTTGTCATTCGGGACTTGGATGGGCAGACTACCCAGGGTAATATAACAGCAAACACGATGCCCATAAGGATGCCTTGGGCTTTTGCTAGGAAGGGAAATTTGGGCAAGTTGGCATAGATGATGTTGAGGTTCGGCTGCGCCGCTATTATAAGTTGGTTGACGAGGATATATTACTGTAAAACCTGTCAGTTGGCGCTGTCCATTTCTCGTGTCCTAATTTTGCTCCTGATACCTTCATCTGAATTGAGTACCTATGCGCTGCTCACAATGGAGCAAACAAGTTTCGATGCCTCCGTCACGTTGACGTCCTTTATTCCCCCATGCTGCTCGCAAGCTCAACTACTGGTTGCTTTTGAAAGAGCCGTTGCCCTTTAATTATAGCAGTATGATGCCTGCAAGCAGCAATTTTTTTTTCCTTTTTTCAAACACACAGCAGCGTGGCTGCCACTCTTTACAGATCAGATTGACCAATCGAATCCTGGAACTGGCTGCGTTGCCGAGATTTGGACGCCAGCTTCAATCATGCCGGCACTTGACGTTCTATTATAGGGAGCCAGGCACGTGGAATTATACACCACGAGGGGTAAATGCGACACCAAGCAAGCGGCGCAACAGGGAAAACGCCATTACGTGAAGGAGTCAGTACAACTATTGGTGAGCGACAAGCTTTTCAGGATCGAGGGAATGCCATGCTCAAATCGATTAATGACTCCGGTTGAGTATATCGACAAATATCCATTGATGCGACGTTCAGCCGTTGCAGCGACGTGGTGCGGCGGTGAGGCGCCGAAAAACGTGGACTTGACTGAAAGTGAAACTGTTGGATTCGACTTGCACAGCCGGAAAAAAATGGATGAATTTGACGATATTGATATACGGTCGCATCCCCTGAAACCCTCGCATCGTGTCCCTCAATTTGAGCACTAGAAGCAGCAACCATCGCGTAACAGCGTCTAAAAACCACCGTTTTAACCCAACGGAAATGTCACCAAGTAAAAACCGGTCCCGGCACGAGTAATGCCTCGTGATTTTCACACATAGTTCTACCCCTCCTGATCTGGACGCGGTCCTGATGCTGACCCAAGAACCTGTAAACAGGCGTCGCAGTGATGGCGCTCGAGATATGGACCGAGTTCAGACCGCAAGCCTCAAGGGCAGATTATCAGGCGGATTCACCCCCTTCGCTCGCCGAAGGCCCAGGGTCACAATTGCCTCGAAACTGGCATGGCCCATGCGGAGATGCCACAGCTTCAACCAATCCATAATTGCCTGATCGAACTGGTGAGCCATCGTGGATATTGTCCTGGGTGGCCATATTTCTGCCTGTGCGGACGGATACGGACTTTATTTCGCCCGAAGGGATGTCAGTCCCAGGTCTAAGGGAACTTACGGAGCAATATAATTCCATTCAATGTTATCACTTTCCTGGAAATCTATTATCTACTGTCATAGGCCCCTGTTGCTGCTGCCTCCATCCGCCAGCCTTACGGCAGTCGAAGACTAAAGTCCGCTTAGACTACACAAATGTCTCCCAGATGAGGACTAGCATCGCCATCAGGCTTGCTCGCGTCATGATGCCACGGAGACAGACACAGGGCCCAGGATCTGTCAGCAGTCTGAGACGGCGGTACACGGAGAATATGAGTCAGACGGCGAGCAAGCTACAAGATGAAGCCTTGGCGAGCATCAGGGATGCTGATACGAGGTGATTCGAAAGGAATCATCAGATGGGCGGAGCCGTGTCGGAATACGGCCTCCTGATTGGATACTGGTTGCCGTGGACGGGCCACGGACGGGGTCCCGAGCAGATTGCTTTGAAATCGCCGGACCAACCAGTTGACATGCTTCTTGCTGCAGTCGCTGTTATGCAACGCTAGATCCGCACACAAACCGTGATTTCCTGTCAACTCCATCTCAACTCCCATCAAGTCCGCTCAACCCCCGACACGCCATTGGACAGGCCCAGTAAGCCCACGAGAAGCAGCAACTGCCCCAGGCACGACCGAAATGTTTCCGTGTCGTATTAATAATAATCGTGGCACCGATGAGCGGGTCCGGCCCCAAACTGGCAATTGTGAGCTTGTTGAGAACCCACATAGCGTCAGAACTGGGTTACGGTACAAGCCGGAGATACCTAAACTCCAGCATATGATGCAACATCAGTAACTGTCAGGCCTGGTGCCCATCTAGTACAAGTATTGGCGTCATGGTCTTTTGGTTAAAACGGCTGCCAGACCGTTGAAGCAAGCCGACAGCCTGTCTTGAATCTTGAACCCGTATCTCACCTTCACTCACCCGTGATCGGTCCCGCGGAAAACGTCCGCCTCTCCAATCCGTAATATAATTGAGCCTGACTGTTCGGTCGATTTGTATACCGCTTTTTTCTTTTAACATTTCACCGGGGCCTTTCGGCCGACAGAAAAAAGAGAGAGGTGCAACATGCCGGGCAGCGGTGATGAAGTGGCCGGGTCCGGTCCTCCAACGACCCGTGACACCAAGACCTCGAATGTCAACAACGAAACAGACGGGCAGCTGTCAGACGACACTTCCAACGATGGCTACTGGGGTGATACATACGCCGATGGGCCCGTCAGCCAGCGTGCTGCCCGGGCCGACTTCCTCGAGCTGCAGCACGAGCTGAGTCGACGAAGCACCAATGCCTCGGCCGCCCACAAGAAGTCCGGGGGCCGTCTCATGGGCAGGATGTTTTCCGCCACGAGCGGCCGCGGCCACAAGGAGAAGCAGTCCTCCCCGGAGGCTGACGAGGCGGACAGCGAGCGCACCGCGCACGCGGATGGCTTCGAGCTCGAGCAGTTCATCCGCGACGGCCACCTGGAGAAGCGCAATCCCGAAAACGGCGAATCGACCAAGAAGGTGGGCGTCTTGTTCAAGAACTTGACGGTCAAGGGCGTGGGCGCGACCTCGACTAGTGTCCGGACGCTTCCCCAGGCCATTGCCGGCACTTTCGGCCCGGACCTGTACAACCTTGTGTGCCGCTGGATCCCTGCGCTCGACTTCCGCAGTCCCGGACAGCCTCGAGACCTGATTCGCGACTTCACCGGCGTCGTGCGGCCCGGCGAGATGATGCTCGTGCTGGGACGGCCCGGCGCCGGCTGCAGCACGTTCCTCAAAGTCATCGCCAACAAACGCGGCTCGTACCAGGCCGTCGAGGGCGAGGTCGTGTACGGCGGCATCCCGTCGTCTAAAATGGACAGGCGGTTCCGCGGCGAGGCCGTCTACAACGCAGAGGACGACCAGCACATGCCCAGCCTCACGGTCGGGCAGACGCTCAAGTTTTCGCTCCTCAACAAGACCAAGAAGCACGAGCGCGGCAACATCGACCTGATTGTCGACTCGTTCCTCAAGATGTTTGCCATGTCGCACACCAAGGACACGCTGGTGGGAGACGCCTTCACGCGCGGCGTCTCGGGCGGCGAGCGGAAGCGCGTCAGCATCGCCGAGACGCTGGCCACCAAGAGCACCGTCACTTGCTGGGACAACTCGACGCGCGGCCTGGACGCCTCGACGGCCTTCAACTACGCCAAGTCGCTGCGTATCATGACGGACGTCTCTGACCGGACCACGCTGACGACGCTGTACCAGGCTGGCGAGGGCATCTACGAGCTCATGGACAAGGTCCTTGTCATCGACGAGGGCCGCATGCTCTACCAGGGTCCCGCCAGGGAGGCCAAGCAGTACTTTGTCGATCTTGGATTCTACTGCCCTCCGCGGCAGACCACGGCCGACTTCCTCACGTCCGTGTGCGACGTCAACGCGCGCCAGTTCCGTCCGGGGTTCGAGCATCGCTGCCCCAAGACGGCCGAGGAGTTGGAGAAGGCGTTCCGGCAGAGTCGCGCCTACAGGGCCGTCCTCGACGACGTCGGCAGTTTCGAGAAGCACATGCACGACACTGGCCACTCTGACGCGCAGACGTTTGTCGACTCGGTGCGGAATGCCAAGTCCAAGACGGTCCTGAAGCAGTCCGTCTACACCGTCAGTCTCTGGAGACAGGTGCTGGCGTGCACCCGCCGCGAGTTCTGGCTCATCTGGGGCGACAGGACGTCTCTGTACACCAAGTTCTTCGTCATCATCAGCAACGGCCTCATTGTCGGCTCCCTCTTCTACAACACCCCCTCCAACACCAGCGGCGCCTTCTTGCGCGGCGGCGTTGCCTTCTTCTCCATCGTGTTCCTGGGCTGGCTGCAGCTGTCGGAGCTGATGAAGGCCGTGTCTGGACGGGCCATCATCAGCCGTCACAGCGAATATGCCTTCTACCGACCCAGCGCCGTCAGTCTCGCCCGTGTGCTGGCCGACCTGCCCATGCTTGTGGTCCAGGTCGTCATCTTTGGGCTCATCATGTACTTCATGACGGGGCTGGATGTCGCGGCCGGCAAGTTCTTCATCTACATGCTCTTTGTCTACGTCACCACCATTTGCCTGACGGCTCTGTACCGAATGTTTGCTGCCGTGTCGCCGACCATCGACGACGCCGTGCGCTTCTCGGGCATTGCATTCAACCTCTTGATCATCTTCACCGGCTACACGCTTGCCAAGCCCGTGCTTCTCAACCAAAAGATTTGGTTTGGCTGGCTGTACTACGTGAACCCCATCAGCTACTCCTTCGAGGCCGTCCTCACCAACGAGTTTAGCGGAAGGACGCTGGAATGCTCGCCGTCGCAGCTCGTGCCCCAAGGCCCTGGCATTCTGCCCGAGAACCAGGGCTGCGCCATTGCCGGATCGCATCCGGGCAACCCCCAAGTCGCGGGATCCGACTACCTGTCCTCCCAGTTCGAATACAGCCGGTCGCACCTGTGGCGAAACTTTGGCGTCGTGGTCGCCTTTACCGTGGGATACATCGCTCTGACCGTCCTGGCCACGGAGAAGATCTCCTTTGGCGGCTCGGGTCACGGAGCCCTCGTGTTCAAGTCCTCCAAGAAGCCCAGGCAGGTTGCAAAGACGCAGAACAAGACCGACGAGGAGCACACCCGGCCAGATGACGTGACTGCTGCGGCGGTGGCACGCCAGAGAACCCCCGACGAGGTCTTGGAAGCGTTCAACCGCAGCGAACAGGTGTTCACCTGGGAAAACATCAGCTACACTGTCTCCACGGCGCAGGGCCCCAAGAAGCTGCTCAACGACATCAACGGCTACGCCAAGCCTGGCGTCCTCGTCGCTCTCATGGGTGCCAGTGGCGCCGGCAAGACGACGCTGCTCAACACCCTGTCCCAGCGCCAGACCGTTGGCGTCGTCGAGGGGAACATGCTTGTTGACGGCTCTGCCCTTGGGTCCGACTTCCAACGACGAACCGGGTTTGTCGAGCAGATGGATCTGCACGAGGGGTCGGCGACGGTGCGTGAGGCCCTCGAGTTCTCTGCCCTCCTCCGACAGAGTCGCCATGTCCCCCGCCAAGAGAAGCTGGAATACGTCGACAAGGTGATTGACCTCTTGGAACTGCACGAGATCCAAGACGCCATCGTTGCGTCTCTGGGCGTCGAGCCCAAGAAGAGGCTGACCATTGGCGTCGAGTTGGCGGCCAAGCCTTCTCTTCTGCTGTTCCTGGACGAGCCCACGAGCGGTCTCGACTCGCAGGCGGCCTATTCCATCGTCCGCTTCCTCCGGAAACTCTGCGCGTCGGGGCAAGCCATCGTGTGCACCATCCACCAGCCGTCTTCCGAGCTCATCGAGCAGTTTGACAAGATCCTCGCGCTCAACCCCGGCGGCAACATCTTCTACTTTGGCCCCGTGGGCCGGAATGGCCAAGCAGTCGTCGACTACTTTGACGCTCGGGGTGCGCACTGTCCCGAGGGCAAGAATATCGCAGAGTTCCTCATCGAGACTGGCGCTCGCCCCGATGCCCGCGAGCACTGGAACGAGCAGTGGCGCAATTCCAACGAGAACAAGGCCCTCATCGAGGAGATTCAACAAATCAAGCAGCAGCGGAGTCAAGCGGCCTCGTCTCACGAGGTTCTCTCACACGAATTTGCTGCCCCCGTGTGGGAGCAGATCAAGCTCCTGACGAAGCGCATGTTTATCAATCAGTGGCGTCAGCCGTCGTACATTTACGGCAAGTTCTTCACCGCCGTGATTGTCGGCATCTTCAACGGCTTCACCTTTTGGAAGCTTGGAGACACCGTCAACGACATGCAAAGCCGAATGTTTACGTCATTTCTCATCATACTCATCCCGCCGACGGTGCTCAATGCCATCCTGCCCAAATTCTACATGGATCGCGCGCTCTGGGAAGCACGCGAGTACCCTAGCCGCATTTACGGATGGGTCGCGTTCTGCTCCTCCTCCATCCTGTCCGAGATCCCCGGCTCTCTCCTGGCGGGCGTCATCTACTGGGCGCTGTGGTACTGGCCCACGGGCCTGCCCACGGATTCCCTGACGTCCGGCTACGTCTTCCTCATGACTGTTCTCTTCTTCCTGTTCCAGTCCAGCTGGGGCCAGTGGATCTGCGCGTGGGCGCCGAGCTTCACCGTCATCAGCAACGTCTTGCCCTTCTTCCTCGTCATGTTCTCCCTGTTCAACGGCGTGGTTGTCCCGTATGCGCAGCTCAACGTCTTCTGGAGATACTGGGTAAGTGTACACGGTCCAATGACCATGTTACTACGCAAGGCGGCTAATGCGTTTCCAGCTTTACTACTTGAATCCCAGCACGTACTGGATCAGTGGTGTTCTTGCTACCACCCTGGCCAACCAGCCTGTCAAGTGCGCCAGCAACGAAGCTGCCTACTTCAACCCCCCGTCCGGCCAGACCTGTATGGATTTTGCGGCTGATTTCGTCGCGAGGGCCGGCAGGGGCTACCTCGTTAACCCGAATGACACGGACAACTGCAGCTACTGTCCGTATGCCAGCGGAGCCGAGTACTTGGGCTCGCTGAACATTGAACCTAGTCAGAAATGGAGAGATCTTGGCATCTTTATTGCTTTTTGCGTTTCAAACTGGATGTGAGTATCCTAGCCTTTTGCTTGCCGCAGCATACAGGGACTAATAGGTGCACGCTTAGGCTGGTTTACTTCTTCATTTATACCGTCCGAGTTCGACGATGGAATTTTGGTCTTGGATACATTTTTGGTTTTCTTTAAAGTATACGATTAGACTCACGGCCTGCAATGGCGGTTTTGGGTCGGTTGTCAACCGGCCTGGGAGTATTTGCGTGCATCAAAAATTATAGAAGCACAAAATGCAGTAGATTAGTGATAATACTCGGTCATAATTTCCATTACCTTTTACTGTTCTGTACTGCTGAAGTTGTGTCCTGGGCAAGTAACCACCTTGGCCAACTTCGTCGCCTAATAGTAAAGTGAGCAAAATACGACGTGGCGTGGAAACCCGCGACAGGTGGGTTGGGTCAACAGAAGCCGTTTTGAAAGAAAATAGATAATACTTGTAGACTATTCGAATAGGAAGAAAAACAAAGGTCATTGTCCAGTTTACTCCCTAAACTGCGTTCGTACGAGGACAGCATGTCTATTAAAGATGGGCCGGCTTAAATCCTCCCAAATGGGCAGGCAATACAAGAGCATGAACGAAACATCAAACACATCAGGCAGTGTGCGACATACGCATGATAGAAGTGTCCGTAAATTGGTTTAAATTTGAGGTGGCTCAATGGTGGTGATGTCACAAGAGCCCGCCATGAAGACAGCTGTTTGTAGCGCGCGGCTCCGTTAAAGTTTTGTAGAGAAACGTCCCCCAGAGATCTGTATGGTGTGTGAGCGGATGAAAGCATCCAGCGGAAGCTTTTCCATCTCTCTCTCAACTCAAGAGTGGGTGGGGGTTTATTTATTGACAGAGGGAGTGGTGCGCAGGGACACTGTAAATGCGTTCCAATGACTGGATTTCTTTACCCGTATACTAGTAATGCGCCTTGGACGAATTGATACATGTCTGCTCACTAGTTAAGGAACAAGGCTTGATGTGGTTCCAGCTTCTACTTCCCCCATGCCATAGTGCAACTTTAGCACTGTTATCACCACCGTCCGTTCACCTGGCACCATGACGTTTGCATATTACAAACCTATGACGCGAAAAGTTCAGTACCGATTACTGTGATGGCCAAGTGTAATGTGTTCAAGCGATAACCATTGCAATTGCAGGTAACCGCACACGAGTAACGGCCAGGGTATTGATAGGTGTATTGGATGCTGATACACTGCCTTGCGCATCTCAACCCTGCCCTCGTGCTCGTTCAAAATTAAACCCGGAGTCATGACTATGTCGTATAAAGATTCACTCCAACTACTGCGCGACACAGCAGACATGGCCAGAACGGCTTGGCTGCAGCGGAATCACGTGGACCGCGACCTCACACAAAACGCCATCGGAAGAATCGCCGCGACGTCAAGTTTTAGCTCTGATGCCACTCCTCTGCATGATACCTCGGCAATGTATGGCTTCATTATAGAATCTTCAGCTACTATCGACGCCTCACCGACCCGTCCGGTGACATTCAGAATAGTAGGCGGAGTTGTCCCAGGCCAGTTCCCAAAATTGTATCCAGATACATGCCCAGGAGAAGACAATGTCTGCCTTGAGGTAATGACTGGAGGACGGTTCCCCAGCAAAGAAGGCAGAATTGGCAAGTTGAGTACATGCGTCCCGGTTGAGGACGTCTCAATTACCACTTCCACTACACAGTGTTCCGGCCGAGAAGCAAGATTCATAGTTGCCACGAAACCAGTGCCGTCAATTGCTCACCGTCGAGTAGCTCGCACAGATATACCACCTAACAAGTTGCTGATCAAAACTGGAGAGCGCATTTTGACATCGCACATCTTGCCATTGGTTTCAGCTGGACTTTGGTGTACAAGTGGTTGCTAAACCCAGAATCAGCATCTGGTCAACGGGCAGCGAATTCGTTTCCGGGACTTCTCACCTCGCAACAGACGCGAATGGTCCATATCTAACGGCAATTTGTCAGGAGTTTGGCGCCGATGCTAGCTTTCTTGGCTACTTGGATGACGAACTTGATGAGCTGAGCCAAGATTTCCGCCAAGCCGAAGGATCTGGTAATTTTGACGTCTTGATCACTACGGGAGCAGTATCTGCAGGCAAGTTTGACCTTGTTTGAGACGCGCTGAGGAGCTTAGACGCATACGTCTTATTCCTTGGGCTAAATATACGCCCTGGACATCCCGCGTTATTCGCATTATTGCCCTGTAATTCAGAAGGGGTTGCATTTTTTGGACTGCCCGGCAACCTGGGAGCTGCTTCTGCATGCTTCAGATTTTTGGTCGTGCCCTACTTACGACGGTTGCTGGGAAGAGAAGCCGAGAAGCCGAAAAAGGCCAAGGCCACGAGAGAGAAGTTGAGCAGCCAGGCCGGGGACCAGAGGCCAAAGAAGGTCATTTTTATTGAGAAACAGAATAGTGATTGCTTCGTTCCTGGGAGAATGAGCACGTTGCCTACTGGGCTCAACTTGGTGCAAGTTCAAGACAAGACTAGTCCGGCAAGAATGGAGCCGTTTATTGAAGCGAATTATTGGGTCCACGTACGTGGTGGTCACAAAGGTCAAGTTGTTGACGGAAGGTCAAGTTGTGGCGGTGGATTAGCCAAGACTTGGACGTCAATGAGCTTTCCGCGCCGAGTTCTCTTCATTTCGCCGGGCCTCGAGTAACTCCAAAGCATGGTGCCAGTCGTCTTTAGTATTTAACTACATTGAACAGCCAGTTTTCACAGCCGACGGGAGGAGATATGGTTCGCCCATTTAACTTCTTCACAACAGCGGCCGGACTCCGCGTCCTGTTTGCTACCTCGTACTCTAAAGCTTCAAGGGCCAAGGGTCTCCATAAGCCCACGAAGGGTTCGCAGTAACCCTCTGCATTTCGGAAGCAAGTCACCGGCGCAGAGTAGGCTTCACAAACATATCTCAACGCTTCAGTCGTCAGCAACGGATAGTCGCAAGCAACTACCAGCCAGACGGCGCCTGGATTAGTCCGATGAGCAGCAATGATACCAACAGCTGGTCCTGCAGATACTGAGCTGTGGTTGGGCTCCAAGTCATATATGGATCTTGCGGCGTCCTTTCGGCCACCTAGGAGAAGTGCCGTGGGAGATTCTTGTGCGAGAGAGTTGTAAACCTTCTCTAATGACGGACAAATTTCATGAAGCAGATCAAAAAAGTGCTGGAGAAGAGTCATCCCGTGGCCCATGAATAATAGATGTTTTGATTCGCCCATTCTCGTGGCCTTGCCACCTGCTAGGAGGATGGGCTTGAACGACAAGTTGTCCATGGGAGTTAAACCTCCAACGACAACAAAAAGAACTGCTCCTTTTCCTTGATTCCTGTGGTATTGTGCATGGATTGTATATCCGTCGCATTAGATGGAACTTATTGGCGAGGAAGCCATAGGGAATTGTTGTGGTAGAAGCAGTGAAATTTCTGGTTTCCGCATGACGTTTTATAACTGTGCGCAGGCCATTGCAGTAATTGTCACTACTTGCTACGGAATGCATCTAAGTCTAAGTTAATACTACGAAAAGTAGCAAAAGAGTGATATGCCATGCATGCGTCATGAGCCGAAACTCGGGTCGCGGTCGTTACAATATACACAAGTTGGCCCATTGAAATATTACATGACATCAACTACTGTACACGCAATGCCCAGATGTTACAAAACGACAAAGCGTTCTTTCCAGGCAAAAATGCTGCTAAAAAAGCAAGTCAATCGCTTAGCTATCACACCGACTAAGAGCCTCTATACCATGCGGCTGCCGGCATCGCAACTCAACATCGGATCAAGATAGAGCCGGCGAGCGCGGACCGTAAGACGGTTCATACCACCCCGAGATTGATACGAGAATAGTCTACTCGTGCCCCTATTATATCCCTGTGCCTGCTTCAAATGAGGTACCAACAGCGTCTGTGGCGCTCGCACGTGAATCTGATGGCTGACCCAACCTTGCATTCTCCCTAGCTCTTGTGCTGCAAATTGAATAGCATCGAAGAAGTCCTGATCCCGAATAGCTTGACTAACTGGGTTCAATATGCGACATGTACACCTGTAGACCTCGCAGGACCCCCAATGGTCCATGCTCCCCTCTTGCGTCGTCGCATATCGTCCAAAAAAGAGCCTCGTGAAGAGAATGCGCCGCGTGCTTACGCCCAGCTTCCTTTTTCCTCTCCGAATTTCTCAACCTGTGGCTCAAGACAGCGGCGAATTCGCTCGCAGATCATGTGGAGGGACCGTATGCCAGAATGCGCGTCTGAATCGAGGAGAAGTTTTGGCAGGAGATTCTCCAGAACTTGGTTTAGGAGATTAATGGCCTCGTAAGTCTCTCCTAGCCAGAGCTCAAGGTGTCGTTTGCGATTTGCGAGGTCGTCAGGGGCTTTGGTTGAAGTGACTGCGTCCTTGTTACACGCTGCGCAGACTGCTTCGGTTTGATTTTCCTTGATAGTAGCGGGATGTGTACTGTTGCTTGGTTGATTCGGGATGGGCACTTTTAGGATCTGCACTGCTCCTGATTTGAAAGTTGAAATTGGATCCCATTCCGCTGTACAGCCGCGGCGGTTAACATGCTATTGCGGAAATGCCCCAGGCTTAAATAAAGGCGACTTACGAATTGTCAGCTCATTAGCAGCACGAGCCCTGCCGTTTTTGGAATCCGAGTATCCAAAATGGAATGGAATAAAGACCTACCCTTGGGAAATCTTTCCGACGGAGGCCTTGAGCTCGACCTCGCCTCTTCTTGACTTGACCATCACCATTTCTCCATTGCTTACATTGAATGTTTTTGCATCCTTCTCTGAAATCCGGACATGGGGTTCTGGGCAAGATTCCTGAAGGGCTGTCCTCCCCGTCTTCGTCCTGGTGTGAAAGTGGTACACATTAAGACCCGTTGAGAGTCGAAGCTGGTACTCGGCATTGGGCATCTCGTAACTTGGCAAATAGTGACAGGCTTTCAGGATTGCTCGCCCGGCAGGGTTGAGTTGCCTGTAATATTGCGCGGCGAACGGGGCGCCTGTTTCTAAATCGTGCCCAAAGCTTTTACCATAATCCATGTCCGTGAAGAAGACCCCATCGTCGAACAGTCGCTCTTTGCCTTGGGGGTGTTGACTATTGCAAGGCCATTGAATACCAGATCCGCCGGTCAACATGCCGTATGACAGACCACTATAGTCACAAGGCCTGCCGTCCGAGACCAGCTTCCAAGCATTGAAGACTTCTTCTGGCGGGTTCCAAGGTAGCAGTGCTTGACCTTACTTATCCCTGAATGCCATTCTGCGCGCAAAGGATAAGGATACATCAAGGTCGGCTTTTGCTTCTCCCGGAGGGTCGACAGCCTTGTGGGAAATGTGCACTGTCCGGTCAGCATTTGTAAAACATCCTGTCTTCTCTCCCCTCTGAGCAGCAGGTAGGACAACATCTGCCACGACCACCGTCTCAGTCCAGTAGATATCTTGACAGACGACAAAAATCTCCGCTTGGGTAAACATGTCTATGATTGCTGACAAGTTCGGAAGGCTGACGAGTGGATTTGTCCCACTGACCCAGACCATGCGTATAGTTCCATTTTGCATAAACTTTCGCATGTTCTCTATGTGAGTCGGCTCATTCCAGTGTGGGATGCGAATCTTGTCCAGGTTCCAAAGCTTGGCCAGTTCGTCGAAATGTGCCGAATTTTGGTGGTTACAACCCACTTCGCGGTTATTTTGAGCCGTGGGCTGTCCGTTCATCTGGAGCACGCCACTGCCAGGCTGAACAATGAGTCCGCGAAGAAGGTTGATATTGTTTATCTGACAAGCACTTGCCGTGGCTTGGTTGGACTGATACAGGGCTTGTAAAGCAGCTGTAGACTGCAGAGTTAGTGTTGTCCCGATTATTTGCGCCGCCTGCTGGAGCTTCGTGGCTGTAACTCCAGTGATTTCTTCGACATTTTCCGGAGTATATTTCGAGACGGTCTTCTCAAGTGTCTCTAGGCCGACCACGTGCTTCTGGACGTGAACCCGGTCAATCCAGTCGTTCTTGAACAGCAGGTGGTGGATACCGTTGAGCAAGGCTAGATTCGTTCCTGTCCGCGGCGTGAGATGCACATCCGCCTTTCCTGCTGTCTCCGAGTAACGCGGGTCGACTACAATTAATTTGGGAGGTTTAGGACCATGTATTCTATCAAGGACTCTGGACCAGGGCACAGTTGGTGTAGCTGCCATGTTATGGCCCACAAGAAACGAACAGTCAGTGTAGTTAATATCCGTATACGATCCTGGTCGGCCATCCGAACCAAATGATTCCCTCATGGAGGCAACTGCGGTTGCGGTATAAAGTCGCGTGTTACCGTCCCTAACCATATGTGTAGGCAGTCATCTTTGCCTAGGAGGGGAGCGAGGATATTAGAAAAATCACGATGCGTACACATAAAATGTCTGAAGCCCTGCTTTACCAATGAGGGCCAATGCATAATACTCCTCGAGAAACAACTGTCCCATCGTATAAAACGCGATGCTATGCGCGGTGATCCGTCTGAGAAGCTCTTTGTCCTTTTGCACAACAAGTTCCATCGCTTCGTCCCACGACGCTTTCTCTAGCTTGCCATTACGCCGAATCAATGGATGCGTAAGCCTATCTTTGCTGTGAATCGCTTTCCAGCTATCACCATGGTATTAAAATGTATGTCAGCCGCCCAACAATTGTAATACTTTTACTGAATCATGTGTAAACCCACCCATAAAGTCCCCTTGGTCCAAGTCTTCCCTTGTTAACTCGATCTGTTGCACGGCTCCTAACACCTACAACTTTGCTAGTTTTCTCGTTGCTATTAAATATTCAGAGCCCGATGAATGACATGCCAGAAAGTAAATCTAGTGAACATACCTGCAGAGCAGACATGCACTGTGAACCCATTTTTCCGGGTCATCATTCGCGGCAACATCAACTCGTACAAGCCATTCGTGAACATACATACGTTCCTGGGCAGGACCCAACAAAAGTCAAATCGTTATACTTGGATGTTTAGTTGGTCTCTTCTATTTTCGAGTACTTCATTAGGGGACACTCAAGCCTGGGTCCCGGAAACATTACCCGTTGGCGTGGTACGTTCGACATGTATTAGCATACTGAGTAACATACAGATCTCTTGGTCTGTGAAATGACGCCATGTTTCTCACAGTCAGTCTCTTTCCGCTTCCAGCTTCCACTTACACTATTGACTCTTTTTGAACATGTCCTCGAGCTTCTGCTGCCCCTTCTCGACCGCCTTCACCTTGACCTTTTCACTGCCCAATACAGGCGGCAACTGTTGAACGCGTCGCTTGGCGTCTTCCAATAATTCCACCTCGCGTGCGCGCTGTCCCTTCACCGTGGGAATCGACCATGAGTTCGACGTGGCGACTTTATGAGCAAGCTTATATTTCGATCCCTCGAGGTGTGTTTCGTAGGTGTTTGCATCGACTTTCCGTACGTGCTGCACAAAGAGCGTTCACTTCAGTTACTTTTCAATGCCTTGAGCTTGAGCAGAGCCTTGCAACACACCTGGTGTGCAACAATTAGCCAATGGTACTCGGTGCCTACGGGCGCACCGCTTCGTTCGGGGGCCTTTCTGGCCCTCCTTTTCTTCGTCTCGTAGTTTATCTTCCACAGGTCCGGTTCCGCCTTGACCTCGTGCCACACGCCGCCGTCGTAGTTCCAAGTGTGAGAGCCACCAACCGCCATGCCGGAGTAGTACTGGCCGTTGAAGGATTTCAGAGAATTGTAGCCGCCACTGCCAAAGGCGTATGCTTTACCGACCTTCTTTTTGTTGGTCAAGGCCTCTTCAGCTTCTGGTATTACCTCTTCATCCAGCAGAGTGGGATCCATGGCTGCATCGGGCTCACTGCCTGGTCTCGGTTCACTTCCAGCCAGGCTGTCGCGCTCATGTGTGAGACTTGAGTGCTCTTCACTTGTCGAAGTCGACGGTGTGCTATCAGCGGTAGGGGACCGCCTAAGTCGCTTTGAGGGTCGAGGCATGGTGTGAGATAGTCATGAGACAACATTGAATGCTCAAGTTATTATCTATCAATAATGGGTTTTATGTTGGTTAGTGTCAACAGTTGCGCACGAGTGCCATTCAGGGCAACATTGCTCCTAAAAGAAGAGGGTATCGGGAGCGTCGGTTGCATGAGTCGTCTGTGACGTCACATCAGGGCTATTCCGGTGCCACAAGCTGGAGCTCTTTAGTCGTTGGCCAAAAGTAATCAGAGCACGATAGTAATGATTGCATGCAGATAACGTAAAACTAGACAAAGGGGACCAGTGGCACAACACGAAAAAAAACTAAATTGCACATGAACAGTTTATGAGGCGGGTTTTCTGGCTCAGCCAAAGTCCTGGGATACGGTAGAAGGCGGTCGGATGGACCGCTCCGGTAAGAATCAAGAATGCAGGCTGGGGGTATGTGAGCCACCTGCAGAGATGGCTTTAATTGCAGTAGCAGACTTGACTCTCTAATAGTAGGCATACCAAGATACGATGCCCTAGGCCGACTGGTGACTACCATTCGGCTGCCCCCCACGCTAATTTATATCTGACTCCATAATACCATAATCTATAATACAGTCATACAGCCGCTTAAAGTAAGTAGTCGCATTTCCGATCGTCTTAGCATTATGACGATTAACTTCTTAAATCCGCTGTGGTAGTACGGAGTATGGCGCTTAATAACAAGTGAGGACTGCTCACGGAGAATCAGCTTTGCCGCGTATCTGATGGATTCCTTCCGAATAAAAAGCTCATCTTATCTAGGCGGTCAATGTACCTACACAAAGCAACCTTCCTCAGGTTCTAATAACCTCGCATTTCTTGCGTGGCGACCAGATTTGGGTAGGATGCCCGAAATCCGACGATCGAGGCGCTGTCGTTGGCCGTCGGGTGCGTTAGCTGTGGATTTAGTCGTAAGAGGTTGTGAGGCAGCGTCAGCACGAGAATGAGGGACCATAGCCGAAATGATGAGATTTCACTTCCGCAGGTGCTGAGGCTGATTCCTGAGCCGGTTCTGACCTGGTGAGTAGCTCTGAGCCCCGCAGAGGGCAGAGCTTTGAGGATATAATATGGCCGACAATATGGCACTTACTGCACCTTCTCGGAGCCGGTGCGCGCGTCAGAGCTCTTGTCGACCGCCGTTGGACGCAAGGTGTCATCCCTTCATCAACTGATATCACATACTTGGTTGAGTTCTCCGACCACTTGCCCGTACTCCGGCAGTGTTTCCACCCCCGAGATGTATTGTCAATCTCTTCTTCAACGGGCTGTTGGATGTCTGGGCAGCCTCGCGTGCGAGGCGAGCGAAGACGGTCTTGTTTTGGCTTCCGGTTTGTCGGTCCCGGCGCTTCAGTTGACTACGCGCGGTCCGATTATCTAAAGCTTGTTGATTGTGCGTTTGACAACTGACGCTTACTGCCATGCTAGCTTTTTGTTGAGGGTTGTTTTTTGGCCGTCCACGCAGACTTGTCGCGGTCCTTGGGTGCAACATTCGGCGGTACACGTCTCGGCTTACCGGCTCTCGCAGGCGGTGATGGCTTGCAGTGCCTTTCGATGCTCCCTGATGATCAAAGTGCCTTCCTAGACACCATGTAAGGAAGCCCGCCGAGACATTCCGAGCCCTGCCCAACGTGCTTTCGCGCCGTCAACACCTCATCCCGGGCACAGGCCTGGCGGAACTCCCTCTCCTGGTCTGCTAGTATGCCCTGAAATGCCTCAACAAGCCGGTAGAAATGGCCCATTCCGTTCAAAAGATGGCTCTTTACGTCGTCGCCGGCCTCCGTGCCAGAAATTACTCGGATGCCGAACTTACGGTACTTCCGAATGAAGCATCGAGCACATTGCGCCCTACCGGCATATACGTACCATGTAGATACGTGAGGATTGCTCTCTGGTCACTAAATTGCCGACAGAGGCATTCCCAAGCCTTCTGATGTTCCTATCCTGTCTCAGCAAAAGCCACCAGCTTCCACAGCACAAGCACTCCATTGTAGTCGTGGGGCACAGACTGATGCAACTTGTCTCGTGTGACTGACTCCTCTTGCCTTCAGATGCATGTACTGCTTGCCCATCGCGTGGGTTCAAGGTAGCATCGGGCTCGTCCGAATTGCTTTCGTCCCCGGTGCCACTATCCCTTGTGGAATACACCCACCTCCGTTTGGACTGTAGCATCAGGTTGGAGTTGATGTGATGGATGCATAGCTGCTGCTGAGTGACCGGAAACTCAATCCCAATGGTCTTCTTCATCTGATCGTCAAAGTCGGTAATAACAACATCGGGCACTAATATGTTTCGGCCAAAGAGCGTGCTGATGCCCTTTGCAAGGCCCTTTGCAAGGGACTGAAAACCCTCAAATCTCTCGTTGTCGATCAGCCCGACGGCGGCGTTAAACATGGTTCCCAAGCAAGTTTGTCATGTAACTTGAAAGAGTGGCAACTTAAAGCCGTTCGTGTTGTATATATTGTCCAAACTAATAACCTCGGAGAATCGCTTCCACATCCGGAGACGGTAAGAAAATGTCCATACCAACTCCACCAGACGGCTCGGCTCATCGCTAGCCCACTCCGCGATGTAAGGTATCCCATCCCCTTGTCATCGAATGACTTGATCAATGCAGCCGTGGAGTTGTAGCTGCCCAAGCTCTCTCTTCCTATCCGGGCTCTTGCGTTGTAAATATCTCTTGCCGTGTAAACTGCATCCGGGAAGTGATCTCGGACGATTCCACCGGTATCTCGTGCACGGCTGCCAATCCGTCGACTGGTAGACCGAACTGTCGCTTTCATAGGACTATTTAGGCGCCGGTGGGCAGGGTGGGAGGCGGCATCGGAACTGGGTCTATGGTTGTTTTGGTGATGTTCCACCTTTGGGAAGTGCCTTGGAGGCTTGGAGTCCACTGGAAGCCATTCTCAGGTAAAGCCTCCGCAACGATCTTTCACAAACATCCGGATTTACGGGAATTTCGTTTCCAAAGGCCTGCACCCCTTCCTGGCCATATCGATCGCATTGGAACATACATCGACTCCATCTTCCTGGTCTGGGCCTGGGAGATTTTGACACGATTTAGTAGGCCATCCCTTAGGATACGTGCAAAATGTATGTATCCCCATCTGTTACGCCTTACCGATTTTAACGCGAAAATCACAACACCTCATATCACCTTTAATACAGCCAGGAACATTAGAATAACTATTCACGTAAGATCTAAAGCGTCTTGGCTACCGATTAAACATAGTTTCATTTAAATATAATGCTTTATTATTGGGATATTGCGGTCGATAGCTAGCGTGCTGCACAATTTGCCCTCCGCAGTCGATAACGACACGCAATTACTGCCACGAACGTAGTCTCGCGATTATATGTACCGCTCTCAGGAAGTATTTCAACCCCCTGGCACGCTCCAGCTGACCGTGCCATCCGGCCAGGTCGTATCCAGATTAAATCGCCGCCTTAGTAATGGATAGGACGCAAGTGGCATCCGGGACCGAAGGCGCAGTAGGGTTCAGGCGGCGACCCAGACAAGTGGAAGCGGTATACATGGACCAGCAAGATCAAATCTTGATTGCACCTACTGGCTGGGGCAAGTGTCGTCTTTCAGGCAGTTCCAGTTTTAAGCCGTGGAATTTGCATCATGACTCTGACAACTCTAATCGTCTCGACGAGAACTCTGGCAGCAGCTTCGGCGAACTAGACCGCTATAATAACAGCGCTTAAAAGCGCCAATGCCCCGGCCATGCTTGCTACTGGGAGCATTCAATGTCTTAGTCTGAACATTGAAAGTTTAGAAGCGGGACGCTTGTAGGTGCTAATGGCTTGGGTTCACCTACCTGGGTTGATGGTAACGTCAATGGTGATTTAGTATTCATAGTCTAAAGTTAATTTTGCCCCGCGACCCTTATAAAAAGGCACGGTCAACTGCTGAATTCTTCTATTAATAACCTCTACTCTGCCTCTCAAATCTTCCTCCTGAATTGTCTCCTCTTCCACCAGACCAAATCCGTGCGACATCATGGCCGAAGCACCAAGGGACGAAGTAATCGAAAGAATGAGGGCAGTCGTCGAGCGCAGGCGCCAGAGGGAACAAGAACGAATCGCCCGAGCCCTCCAAGTTCCCGCAGAAGAATATAGGGAGCTTCCTCCCGTTCAAAAACCTGTATCCGACGACGAGCTGCCCCTAGAATCGACTTTCGACCTGGGCCAGTCAAATGAGCGCTATCACGGGATTTTTGAAAGTGCATCTACAATGCAACTCGAAATTCCCGTCATGCCAATGGCCGAACCGCTTCAAGGGATGCCTACCATTCCGTGGATTATTGAAGCACCACTAAACTCGGTTGAAGTTCTAGAAGCGATACTAAAGCCGTCACATCCCTTCAAGATCTACACTGCCCGCCACGTCCAGCGTCGCTTCGATCGAGCATACGGCTCAAAGCGCTTGTATTCCGAATATATCCGTCTCCAAGGTCAGCTGGAGCGGAATCGCGAGGTATCGTTTGTTTGTGTGCCTGTATCAGCCGAAAAAATTCTCCACCGTGGGCTTGGGGGGTGCTTCAGGCCCGTTCGTCTGCAGTACATATCAATTCCTTGGTCAACAGGGCGGATCCAGTATCTAACACATCCGTTCGCCTTGGTAATGAGTCATAGACCTGTACCGGGCATCTACACGTATCAAGGCCTTCTAGACACGGTTTTTCGGCAATTAGGATTATCTACTGGTCCTGTTAATGTTCAGCGGAGCTTACTAAAACGCGGAACGACGCCATTACCAGAGACTATATGGGACTGGTTTGCAGGACGTCCAGGTAGTACCGCAGCGTTGCCGTACTTTACTTCTGCTAGGAAGATAGATTTGGACAGGAAAAATGCAGATGAGGGATATCATAAAAGAGAGCCACATTTCGCTCAGTGCTGTCTACCAACTACCACTCTTCGGGAGGTACTTGAAAGGAACCGTCGCCTAGGAGAAGCATTTAGAGAAAGAGAAGCGGCGGCTCGTGGAATAAAGGTTCGTGGAGCAAAGACTCGTGGAGCAAAGACTCGTGGAACTAAGAAGGGCATTTGAAAGGTGATGAAGCAAAGACGCTTTAAAGGCACAGTGAAAGCACATCTAGCAAGCTTACGGCCTCACAAATGTAGGCCCAGGCGCGAGGGAATCGTCTTCACTTCGCGAAACGGTAGGGAGACAAAAATATATGATGCAATAACCCTAGAGCTGCAGACGGAGTCTGCAGCACTCGCACAACAAGAATAATGATTTTATGGAGAATCTTAGTTAACAATGAGTCTCATAGCGTGACACCTGTTGGCTATGGCAAGTGGCTCTAGCTTTTAAGGTAATGCAACAATTCGCGCCTTCTTAGGGTGTCAAGAAGCTTGGATGGACGACGATTTTTCTTACACTACGGAGGCTTCCCTCATGTCGCGGATGAAAGATGCGCATTGACAAATATGGCAAAATACATTCCGGAGAGCAAAATTCAAAATGGGTTGCTCGAAATTATATTCTGTATAGGTAGGTCTTGCACATGATTTCTCCCACGAAATGAACATGGGGAATCACCCGCATACAGTCCGCCCGCCGTCCAAACCACCCGGCTCTAGACGTTAATCTATACGATCATTTACCGTACTTCGCTACGCCGCCACACGTCGAGTTCCCAGTTCCGTACTCGTACAGCCCGCAACACGGGATCGCCATACTACTCCTTCAACCGCCGGAGCAGCCCGTCGAAATTCACCCGATTCAGCCGCGACCCAGAACTCTAACGAGAACGCGAGCTCGCGCCCTCGTCAACACTCATTTCCACAGACTCCTTTTCGCACTCGAGCCTCTCAAAGAGCTCCCCGGGCCGCCGCTTCAAGAAGCGATCATCCGGAGCGTCAAGGACCAGAATCGGCGTTTCGATCTTGCCAACCAAGCCCTCAAGCGCGTACTCTTCCACGACACGCAGGACATTTACCTCCGACACGATGCCAAAAACACACTCGTCATTTAAGACGCACCATTTGAACCCCGTATTCAAAGACACGAGAAAGTGCACGATCGCATTCACGGTACCGTCCCAGCCTCTACTTATCAAAGGCTTTCCAAGCACGGGAGTTTCTTTGCGAAAGCACCGCCAAAGTCGAACACACCATCATTAACAATAACAGTCACGGCACAGTGCTCGAATGCTGCGGCCTGTCCAACCAAGTAGACCCCCATACTAACACCCAAGATGGCAAGCTTTGTCTTGTCGACGTGTGGTTGGCCGAGGGCGTAGTCAACCACCGGTGTAGTCACCTTCTTCTAGTCCGGCCGGAAGAATAGTCGCTGTTCGTGTAGAGTCTCCCCTCATCCCGGTCCATCAAACGTAAGCACATTGAAACCTAGCTCAAGCGCCGAGGTCGCAACTGCATAGCCAAGTTCTTCCCTCGTAGAGCCAAAGCCCCCATTCACAATAATCGTCGGCCTTGGCGTTTCACTCGCATCTGGTCGCAGTACGGTGGCTGGCAACGTGATTCAACGGTATGCCAACTCTCTCTGGGACATGTGACATGAGGTCCATGGCCGAGTAGAAGGCCTAGGTGCTCAGGTCTGCCAGACTTTTAGACACGGGTCCTCGGACGGGTTGTTGCGGCGGTAGGATTCGGCTGTACGGTAGTAATTTGAGGCACGGAGATAGGCGTCTCTCGAGCCGGGTTTATTCCCCCTTTCAAGACTCATTCTGACATTTGCACGGCATAGTCGGCTGCAGCTTTCCATTCTTGCGGCCAGCTATCTTCGTTGTCGGGCTTGATTCGTGAACAAATGGTGATTACTTCGGCGATGTCTGCACCACCAAAGTTGGCACAGCCGGCTGCTCGGAGCGCCTCGCAGCCAATTGAGGGATTATAGGGGAAGAAATGTCGTAGAAGGTGCGCTTTTGCTGCTGGAAAACTGGTTCGGTCGCCATGGAGTGTCTACATAATTGGCTGGGGAGAACTACCGTGCCATGGCTAGATGGCTTTATGATTCGTGGAGTGGCGCAGACTCGTCTCTCAAGCCTAGGCACAGCCTATGAATCCGAAGGCGATGATTCAAGCCGCGGCCTCATGTAAACAAACAATCGTTCTATTCGGCGTGAATTAACTTGGTGATCAAGAACGTTGGAATTGGATTCACCTTCGGGTGAGGTTGTCGTCGTTCGGACCGAACGTGTTTTGGCTGCCGTTATAAGGCTGTCAACTCTGGCGTCCTGGACTGGAAGTTTCTCTATGAAAAGTCTACTCTGATTCCATAATGGCGGTTTCTCGAAGAATTTTGACCAAATTAGCCCGAAAAGTCTGAAAGAAGCTATGTGAGTAGACATTCTCTGGTAAATACGCGGGTCAGATATGGTGCATTACCGGGCGGTTGAAATGCTCTACTTCGTCTAGAATTTCGACGGGATGGCTTAGCGAAGTGTAATATTGCATCGAGATTAACCGTTAATGTCCTCACAATTAGCAGCTAACAAAATATCGGTATGGACGAGAAAATGTCGTCTTGATTAGCAAAGCCGACGACGGCAAGCGAAGCTACGAGTTTTACGAATATTGAAACCGTAATCACGTATAGGCGGGAATGCATAACCCTGTTACGCCTCGGTATTGAATCCTCTGGCATTAAGACTTGAGAACGCAAACAACATGGAGGGCTCTGCCCGATTTTCACGGTGACCTCGCCCTGCACTCACGAAGCATGAAGATGGTCTTTTGATCGTTGTGCCTGAGCTTGATTCGGCGGCGAATTGCATCGCTAGCTTCATGAGACAGCACCATTTAAATTTCCAGCATGTGTTATCCGGACCATCTATAGCGATGTGTATGCCCCTAAGCTTTTTAGAAACATCACACTTATTGGATCTATTGATTTCATTTCTTTGCGTAATACTTCATCCCATTGGCCATGTATGTGTATCAGGATTACAGTGAACCCGGAAGGCGAATTCACGGGCCCGTCATCCCATTATTGTGCAATCATTGCGAGGCCAGAATGAATCCTGTCGAGCTTGAACGAGGAGTGTCCAGGGTTTATCAAAACAATGCCAGCGATTTTGAACACAGACTTGAAGCCGATTCACTTCTCGCTAGATTTGTCTTTGGACTTGGACTTGGCGCTCTTTACAGTTCAACAAAATGCCTTGACGTCTTGCTTGGTGAATCTGATTTTGTTGTAGTCGGTGCGAAGGCGGTCGTTCTAACACACGACGCGCCCAGGGGCTTCTCTGGCTTCCAAACGCTAGCAGTCGTCGGCATTTTAAATTAAATCGGGTAAGAATCATGAATACCTATCCTAGAGCGCTTCGTCTATGCTGCGGTACTTGCTCCGGGTATTAGATGTCTTGATAGAGACTTGGTGTCACAGTAAATATCAACTGGTGTACCGCACATGAAAAATGGAAGGCGTATCACACATTGTAATATCCGACGTCTGGTGCTATTTGCACGTCTCCAAACCCGACCGTTGACAATAGCAAGCGAGACCGAGCCGGTGGAAACGGGGTGGTAAAATTAGCTGCGATTTTGTCTCTTTAGCTTCTGCAGTAGCACACCCATGGAGCTATCAAAGAAGCCCAGATGAAGAGCAACAAAACGTGCAGACTTGTGAAAGAAGAAGAAAAACCGGGGGGACTATTATGCAATGACCGCCGTCAATGATGATGTGGACGCTTATGAGGTGGCCTACGACTGTTCCAACAAACATTCACAAACACCTGCGCCCTACCTTTTCCATTCAAAAACAGCTAGAGCATATGGTGAACATAACAGCCTGTGAAATAAGACAGATGGTAGATTGCAAAATCCTCTTCATCTTCCCGCCTACATAAATACCGGCAGCTACCGCTACCGACACTATTCCATCTCTCATGCTCATCGACATCAAAATATCAGCACCTACTCTCATCGCAGCACGCATTCCATACACTATCGACCTATACACGGCAAAGTTTATACATAATCACCATCTTACAAAAACGCCTTCGAGTTGTCGTTAAAATGTCTACAACCCAGGGGTAGGTGCTTATCTCTCATGAAAGATAGGAAAAATAAAAATACCTAGGACATGTAATAACCTCTCGTTTTAGAGGAAAATGCGAGCGCTGTGAGCGCCCAGTTTCCAAAACTAAAATGAGACGACACTTGAAGGACTGCAGTCGGTTTTTGCATTCTGAGCATTGGAAACCACGACGTTGGACTTGCCGTGGATGCCGGAATCAGTACGACGAGTTGGACAAAGCAATTTTTCATCTAAAGAGATGCCAATGTGTGGAGTGCGGAGGCACTATGTTCAAACCCGGTTTCCATGCTTGTAACTGCGGCGATCCGAATCTCATCAGCTGTGAGAAGTGCGGAGGGACGGGAAAGTTTCCCTGCGATTCGGTTGACCACATAAAGGCCGCGCAAGGAGAGGATAGCTTCACGGATGATTCCAAGGTTGGTACTCCTGCACGCTACCCAACCGGAGAGGTAACAAGCTAGATCGCCTACTATCCATTGAGTGCAATGTGTGCACTGAATGTATGAGGGAATGGTCAGCTAGCGACAACGCTACGATGCCGGCCCGGAGACATGCTTGGATCTGGGAGAGCAGGTTTTTTTTCCCATTATAAGGGTTTTCCTCACTCTAACTAGACAGATGAGTAGCGTGTTTGAATACAAATAATTACAATTTGCACCCTGAGTGGCTCGAATCAAGGACGGCGGTTGGTTTCTTCTCTAGGAAATTGGTTCCTGCAATGCTACATTGATCATATCCCGGGGGAGGCGGCTCAACAACTTTGTGATTCCGGAACTAGGAACTTCGCCTGCATCTTCAGTATGAATTGCGCAATCTTGGTTGATAATAAAAACTTGACGTGCTTCCCCCTTGCCTCTGTCACACGATGTATATGGGCACGCCCCCTAGGCTCTGACCGAATGAAGCTACAAAAATTCTTGACAACCTCGTAGCAAATCAGTACAACTCTGATTCTAGCCACTCGTGTAAAAAATGCCCCGTTGTGTCTCGTGATGCCGTCGATGTCACAGGGTCACTGTGAGTTTAAACAAAGGGTCTTTGGGGGAATGGGCGCTCTAGGACAAACTCAACCACTCACATAGAACTTGTAGCTGCTTCGATAAAACCTGCCCGAAAGCTTCAAAATTCGCCGAACACTTGCGGTTTGCCGGTACCTGTGGCACAAAACTACGTTGGCTCTACGCTTAGCCATCACATAAATAAATAAGTAGTCAACTGGTAGTCTTGGCTCCTTTCCCCACATTTACAGGAATATATGCCTTCTCTCATCGTACATTAACGTGTCGTTGACAGCTGGGTTCTCTCATACCAAGAAGAGCCTTGGAGTTACGGATCCCCTGATGGTTCTGTGGAAGTATATTAACTAGCAGAACATGCAGTACGTATTCATGGCGTTCTTAGTTGCTGTTGGAGTAGCGCTGAAGACCAGTTATTGAATGCATTGCCTTATTATCCCGGCGCCTAAAAGAATATAGGGACGATGACGCAGCTAAGAGGTTGAGATTTTGAAATGCGCAATCAAGTCGCGGTGAACAACTTTCTGTACATAATTTATTCATGCTACCATTGAGATGCGTGAATAATATGCGCGTCGTCAGATCTATCGTAGCAGTTGTCTCCCTTCGGTGGGTGGTGCATCAGTGTGGTTGACCTGTTCAAAACTTCAGACGCCTCATGCGAGGGCTTCGTACTGGAAATCAATCTTTGTATTGATGTACATTCCATTAATTCTCCCGGTGGCGAATCTAGGAGCCTCCTTGCGCAACTTTTTCATTTGTTCTGGGCTTTTGTGAACAGTTCAGAGCGCCTTTGTGGGACAGAACGGTGACAGGACGACGGGAGAACAAAACGACGCATTTTAGACTCTGTACACGAGTAGTTCAGTCATGTCAGCACTCACTTGAAATCAAAAGCTACGTGTTCCCCCAGATGCCAATAGTAAAGCCACGCGCAGCTTTTAGTAAGTACTAGAGG